ATCGATACTGGGAAAACGAGGGGTCATCAAATTAAGCAAGTCTACTCTCTTAGCAACGTATTAGTTGCAGAATGAGATTAAGGAAGCCAAGAGGGACAATTTCACATCCTCGTGTTGATCATATTAGTTACAACCAACAATCTTTGGTGTACGCTATTATATCTCAGTTTTTTTCAGTTTCTCAGTCATTTTCTTATTGGCATCCTTGTATAAACACTAATCCGCTTGTCCAGGGCATAGGGAATCTGATGGAAGTATGTTAAGAGTGAGCCATATCCCTTCCTTCTGTTAACAGAAGCACATGCACTGTAACAATCATGCACTTGGCAACAAATGAATCAATTATCCTGTAAACAGGAGTTTAGTTGGGTGGCGTTGAATGTGGCCGAAACCCCAGATAAACTGACTTAAAAATTAAACGTGATAACTATCTTAAGTCTTTGTATGTGATAACTGCTAATAATGGCGCGTTTCCACTACACGGCCTCGCTCGGCCCCGCTCGGTATGGCTGGGCCTCGTTAGGACTGGCTCACTTTATGGCGCATTTCCATTACAGTTTAGGAACTGGGGCAGTATCTATAGTAACGCAGTGTAGGCGGAGCCGTGACGTGATCTTCAGAGGACCCCAGAGAAACAACACAGCCGTTAGCTGTTAGCACTCAGAGCTCACAGCTCCTCATATATGTTCAGAAACTAGACAAAAGTTAAACAAGTACAAACCACAGACTGCCTGTGTCATGGTGAATACAGTCGCTGCTTTATTTATGTCTGTATAGGCCGTTGTTGTGAGTGTGGATGGTCGGAGCATATACTGCGTTAGCTTAGCCAATCTCCATTTAGAAAACAAGCATTTTAAAAGGTTTTTCGCCTGCCGTCTGTCTGCAGACTTGTCAAAGCATTAATTCATGGTTTTTACTAACCGGTATCAGTATGTTGTTACTTCGGCATCATTTTGAAACGTGTATTACAATTAAATCACGGTCAAATATGTCCATCTTGTTGTAGTTGTAGCCCCCTTGCCAGCGACGCTCTCTCTAGTTTAGCATACTCAGCCCGACTCAGCCTCGTTGTCTCTGGCCCTGGACCCACGATTTTATGAGGCCAGAAAAACTGTGAATTAGGACCCGCCGGCCGGTACTAGGCCAAATGGAAACGCAACCAAAGACGGGCCGCTGACGTCACAGCCCTCTTAAACCGGGCTGCGCGCTGTAGTGGAAACGCGCCATAAGTCAAACCATGTGTACAAGGAACATTTGTCTTTGGGCAAGTAGATTTTTCATTAACGTCAAACCCAAAAAATGGCTTTGCAAATGTTTTCATGAGGAAGGAAATGCATTTACAGTAACACGTCTGTTAGCCCTCAAGGATACATAAAATGAATCTTGGGGAACACTAAATGTTAAGATACATTTAGTTTGTTTTACAAGAAAACTCCACTGGGCACCTTTTTGGAATTCTTCAACTCAATGTTAAGCTATATACGTTTTATAAGGCTTTCTAATACATACCGTTTTTTCCTACCATAACATTTATTTTATTCATCTTTACACAACATCCATCTTGATTTTTACACTGTATCAGGTTTTTTTTGGGTGAGTCACTGCTTCAAAATACCACGCATTTGATTCAGAAACGCATTCACTATTCATTTAGGCATTGAGCTTATCCCTTTAGTCATTATATTGACTTATTGTAGCTTACTCCACATTGAAAGACATAACTGTGTTAAATTAAACAATATATTAAGTTAGAATTTTTGTAATTGCAAATGCTGTCTTCTCACCTCACCAGTATTTTTATCACTGGTTTGTTTGAACAATGCATTACAGCTAAACACACGTCAGTTTATTTGCATGAATACATTGAGTATGTGTAATAGCTCTGTGAGTCACGTCTCATTAACAGTGTGTGCTGCTCGGTACAGAAGAAGTGAGCTGTGAACATGTCTCTAATGAGTACAAAACAGGCGGGGTAATGGGGCTGGCTCCCTTCTGTAATTGGCTTCATCAGCATCAATGGCAAGACTTCGTTCTTCACTGTCCTCTAAGGCTGTTCCTAGGCTTCATAGGGAAAGGCACTGGGAACACAAGATAAACCAGGACTTCATTGTCAGTGCACACACACTCTTGGATTGACGACCAAATGCATGAAGATGTACTGTACGTGCCAAGTCCTTTGCTCAGTTTGTTTGTTCCTTTTACATAGTTTTAATAGGGAGATAGAATCAGCTTACAGACCACACAAACACATGCATACTTCCCCACTAATCCTAATGTGCTGTTAGCAAATACTGCTAGGACCTTAGGGTCCTTTATGTTGAAATGAAATCTATGTCCAAGCGGCGGTCCATTAGAATGGCCTCATTGTATTGCTGCTGACTGAAGGCTGGCTAGCTAGGGACAGAGGTGGCTGGCAGACTGCCTGGCTGTGTAACAGGCTCACTCGTGACCAATGTGACAATGAGTGACCAAGTTCAGTCTGTATAAGAGTGAGCCAGCATGAGCTCATGCCACCTCTGTTGTGAGCTGAGAAGGCCTATGCTAGATGTCAGCATGACATTAACATCATTCTATTTTCACCACCAACGTGTGTCCTAGATGCTAGGGAAAGGTGCAATTTAATCATGTTGTGTTGCCAGGTATGTCCCGGCCTAATCTTCCCAATAGTACAATTTACAGGGTTCCAAAAATGAAATGCACCAAACGTACAAAAAAGTTTTGTATGGTATTTATATTTGGCTTTTGCAAAATGCCACATATCACGTTTTAAATGGGAATGAGGAAGTGTTTTAAATAAGGAAAAGCACAGGCTAAGAATGAAGTAGTGTGTCCTTCGAATGGTCCACTTACTTGGGTGTATTCAACCCAATCATTTCCGTTTGATTTACAGTATCCACTTTGGTTTAGTTTATTTTTTTTTCATTTTATGATGTTTCCACCAATTTACCATTTTAATCATAAAGCATGAGTGGTTTGAAAAAAAAAAAGTAGTGTTGATGTCATCTTCTGTTACACATACTTCCCTAGTAAAACCTGGCAAATTGACCTCAGTTTGTCAGTCAATGAACTCACGGAATCTTGTGACACCAAATAATTAGCATCAGTTTGCCATGCTACTTTTATCCCAACCTCGATTTATTATCTGGACTTTGACTGATGTCTGTCAGACGTTTGTTAGCTTTAAAATGGATTAAAAGTAAAACAAAATGTATGTGGTTTATAATTCACATTGTAATATGCAGACGCTAGAGCTCACAATTCTTGCTGCAGCATCCATGTAGGCATAATGAGTCTACATTTTTGATTGCTCCTCATTGTTCTTGATGATTTTGCTGTATATTTCAGCAGTCTTTAAAAGGTATTTGTGAAAGTGTCAGCAGATGGTAAGTAGGATGTTAGTGGTCATTTGATATAACTGATTGCTCAAGAACTGCAGACTGGCCCAACTAAAAGTCACACTACATTTGGCAGCACCAGCACAGGCACACATAAATACACTTTTTTCTGGAAATAGTAATATACATAATACATTATTGCTGGGTTTCCTAAATACATAGTCAGTGGTCGGTGACTCAGTCATTCTACTGCCTTTTGGCTTATTCTTGAGCTTTGATGGATTGAGAAAGAAAGTCATTTATTGAGGTAAATGTTGTTCATAGCCAGTTCAATAATTACAATGATCAGCAGTTGCAGTGGTTTACCAGTTTTACAAATCTAACTTTCACATAACAAAGAATCCAAGGAATGGCTGATCACCTGACAGCGATAAGAAAAAGACAACTTCCTTAACCAACGATAAAAATATGTTTATGTTTGCCTGGAAAGCTGATGTTAGTTTGCTGATAAAATCATCTGGTTTCAAAGGTCTACTTTCAACAGCATCTTACGGTCTGAAACGAGAAACTGCACAGTGTTTCCCCTAGGATGGAGTCATAACAGCGGTGCTAAGGCACGTGGGCCCAGCATAATGTGAGCGCGCAGTAAAATGCTTCAATCTGGTGCACTTTGAGCACACAATTACTAGAGACCTGATCTAGGGGGTTCAACTCTAAAACACCCATATGAAAAAGATCGGTTTACATTTAATAATCAAATAAGTATATGAACATAACCAATAACCTACCATAGCCAATAACAAATAAATGTAACTATTTTATTTTTGTTGTTCATTCATATCTTATTTTACCTAGTTAACATTTATTTATGCATATTGTTGTATCTCTCCAACTTTAAACGATATGTTTGGTTTACTGTCCTATAGTATACATTGGAATGATTTCAAACCTGTTTTTATTTATCCTAATAATTATAAAGGAGTGCCTTGGAAATATGTGTTTACATAATTTGTGTTCAAAACGTTTGAGACACTGAGATAACTTAGACTAAAATGAACTATCTAAACACTCAGAGAGTCCTTTACGTCACTGAGCCTCTCAGTCTGAGAGGAGAGCTCTCCTCCACCCTGGTTGTAGAAACATCTACTTCTTATATCCGTTAGCGCAGCTAGCACCAGATTCTAATAACAACAGCGCCGGTACCGGTGCGCCCTCTCTCTCTCTCTCCCTCGCTCGCTCTCTCACTCCCACTTTGGCTGTGAGCTGCGGGCGCCTGATAAGCCAACATCCCCCACTTTCATCACTTACAGTGCCCATCGTACAGGGCAAATGAAAAGTGTAACCGGGGTGAAAAGGGTGTTACATTTACTTAATTATGAATATTGTTACATCAAGGCCGAAAGACCATTTACATGCACAGAAACCAATAAAACAGAGAGAAAACCCCCAAAAGACTAAAAGGGCCTTTTTAAAATGCTTTGAATTGTAGAAGAGTCAATCTCGTCACCATATATACTCAATTTAGCATCAGGTTTGAACTTATTGTCTTCAGTTGTAATTGTCTATCACATTTCTGAAATAGTAAATGGCTTGTATGTTATTGTGAACTATTTAAATCGACTGAACTCTGAAGTCAGTAATAACCCAGCCTTTTTTTCTTTTCAGACTCAGTGGCAGTACTGCAATGACTAGCCGAGATCCTAGCCATGCAGAGAGCGCCCACTCCACAGAAAAACCACCACCTGCCTTGTCCCCCAAGCTCCATGTCCTGCGATCGCCATCAAAGGACAACATCACCATCCACTTCTCAGCTCTTGGGAAGGAGGAAGAGGAGGACGAAGAAGAGCTCTACTGGACAACTATCTCCACTCCCTCAGGAGCTCAGGACGACTCAAACATTGTGACAGCCGTAGAAGCAAGTGAAGAGATGTACGATTGCATTCCATCAGAGTCTGCGGCCAAGGCTGCTGTCATGCCTGACTCATCCGGACTATCTTCAGTTTCTAAACATCACACTAATCGTTCTCCAGCAGAAACTTCGCCATCGCATACTGCTGAGCAAAAAGGCTCAACTTACAATCCCTCTCCAACTAAATCTTTGAGCTTTCCCTCCAGTGACAACCCCTTCTTCAGCATGGTGAAGTCTCTCTCGTCCGACAATGATTCTGGTGACGGGATCCCTTCTGTTTCTGCTCCCACAGTGAGGCATAGGCAACTGATGAAAAATCTCGTCAAATCCTTGTCTTCAGACACATCCCAGGAATCTTCTTCTTCGTCGTCGTCCTCCTCCACACCCTTCCGTCTTCCAGACTCCCGCCTTAACCTGCAACTCTTCAAGCAATTCACACAGTCTCGGATGCCTTCTGCTACCACGACGTCAGCTGGGGATTCTAAAACTGCACCTTCTTCTCCATTAATCACGACGGATGCCCGCAGCTTCTTCAAGGTCTCAGAAGTCGAGGCAAGAATCGAAGACACTAAGCGGCGTCTTTCTGAGGCCATCTCCGAACCACTCCAACTGCTGAGAGAGATGATGGACGAAAAGACTGGCAGCAGCATTTACCGGCCGAAAGTTCTGTCTGCCAGTGCCTCGGAACTCTCCATTTCCTCTATCAATGTTCAACTGGAGAGCAACAACAACTACTGCATCAAGGAGGAAGAAGGAGTTGACCTAGAAGCTGAAGCCCTTAACAGCGAGGCTTCTGGTACAACTGAAACATCTGTTCTTTCCTCTGTTGACACTAAGAGCCCCAACAAATCTTTACTTTCAATGTCATTGGACAAATGCTCGATGTCTGCTCTCGCTAAACAAGACGATGAGGACTATTGCATCCTGTACAGTGAGGACTTTGAGACTTGTGACAACACAGCAGGTGATAGAACTGATGATACCAGAACTGGGAGTCAAACTAAAGAGCCACTAAGTGGAAGTACAGAACTGTGCAGCGAAGATGAATCTGACAGGTTTGAGCCTGTACCCAGTGTTCCACACTATACACTGGTCATCCTTACTGTACTGGTGTATGGGTGTTTTGTATTACCTCTGCCGAGTTACGTAGGAGGAGTGCTGCTTGGGATTGGGCTTGGGTTTCTTTTAGCTATTGGCGTTGTGTGGCTGACGGGACCTAAACCTTCTGGCAGTGCTTTTAGACATTCCATACAGCGTGGGAAGCTGTGGGATGTCACCAGGTTGGATATTAAGGAACCAGAAATCTACAAGGTCAGTGAATCTTTCAAACTTCCTTAAATTCATTTTGTCCTGAATGCCTTGAAGGATTTTGCTGATGGACTTGTTGCTCATATGCCAATTCGGTACTGATACATGAATTGATAACATTATGAAAACACTTTTTCCAAACTCTTTGTTATACTGACTCCACTAATCCACAGTGTTTTCAACTTGTCCAAACCTCTCAACCGCACAAATACAAATGACTGTGTTATAAGTCATAGTATTATATAAAAGCTGTGACTCAAGTTATTTGTTTATTTATGGAACCAAATCTGATTAGTAATTGACTGATTGTCCAGTGTCATGTGGCTTTTCCTAGTTTTGGCCGCTTACTGATATCCAGTGGTCTCCAGTCAGTACAATACATTCAGCTTGTGCAGATTTCTTTGCTTTCATTGCCTTTTTGGTCAAACTTGGTAATGTGATTTATTTTGTATAAAAAATGTTTATAAAAAGTCTAGGTTTCCAGATGAATCCCGTAGGTTAACGCTTTAACGTTGACAGCCCTAGTCGGTTCTAGCTGGTATTCAAGGAAAAGTCAAACAGTCCATGAGGCATCATCACAGCTCAAATGTTTCATGGCTCTGTGCAATCTAATCCATTTGTCACAATGTTTGATAGAAATCACTTCTGTTTGCCTCACATCCACTGAGTGAGAGGTGGGCTACACACTGGACAGTTTACCGATCCAACATAGGGATAATAATAGACAAGCAACTATTTCATCTTCACACCTAAACTGCCTGTAAGGGAGGAAACATTGTTAACAATTATTAACATGAAGTTAACTATCCTGTGTGCACAAATAATAAGAAATCACTTGTTGGAGCCCATTGACACCTTTTCCCACTCGATAAATATCTTGAAAAAATGTCCCCTTTCAGGACTTTATCATAATGCTTGATTGAATGCCTTACATACACTTTTATAACAGAGAATGTGACCTTACTATGGCACTGTGTGTCTATGGACTGCTGTGAATAAAAGAAACACGGTCGTTTAAGATGCATACTTCTGTGACAGATTTAGTATTTAAGTGACAGAGCAGAACATGAGCTAAATGTGGATCCTGGGCTGGATTGAACCTTCAAAGTCTACCACAGAAAGCAGCTGACAACAAACTACTTTGACTTGAAAACCTCTTTTATCAGTGTCGGCTCGTAGAGGCATGGGTACACGGGTGACAACACACTGTGAGCAGATGTTTTGCAGTGTCCTCATTTTCCAGGCACAGTTTTGGATTGTTATCTTGTCTCTGTTTTCAGTTTCTCTTCAAATGATCAAAAACATCCAGAGTACATCCACATGTTTTTAAATGGATATCAATTCCAATCTATTTGGGAAAACTTATTTGAATTTCAGACTGTTTTGTAGAACTCACTTTATGAAAATGTACATGATGTTAAATGATTGTGTCTTCCCTCCAGGGCTGGATGAATGAGATATCGAACTATGACGCAGAGACGTACCATGCCACACTGACACACTCTGTGTACGTCCGCTTGGAGGGCTCCATCATTCGTCTGTCTAAACCCAACCATAACGTCGCCCGCCGTTCCACACACAATGAACCAAAACCTGATATCCAGTACATCAGTCAGAAGATATACGACATCACCAACAGCAAAGTATGTCAAATGATTTCCTAATGTTCCTGTTGGAGGTCAACTGCAGTTATGTGTTGAGCTAGTAGATCTTGTGAGGGATACGTGTATTTCACAGATGTATTAGTCTGTATAAAGCTAGTCAAAGTTTAGGTCATTATAACATGCTACTTTATATATCATCAATGTGGGATTTTTAACAGATAATGACAAATACCACTGCACAAAAACAGGATTATATGGCTGTAAATTGTCTGTAAATTGTCTAAAATCAGCGATAGAAGAAAAAAATCCTGCATTAAAAAGTAGTAGTATCAACGTATACTTAAAGTACCAAATGTAAAACAAGTATTAGTAGTAGTGGCTACAAGTATTATGCAGTGTCTTTTTTCGGAATGATGTGTATCATATCACTGGATTGTAATGCATTGATGTGTACACCATTTTACAGCTAGTAAAAGTGGAGCTAATTCTAAAGACTTATTATACTGCCAGGTAACCTTAACCAAAATATGACATCACCATTCATTAGTTGATTTATATTCTTAAATAATAAATTACACCAAAGTCACTAATGTTGTATATGAATAAATCAAGTGGAGTTTAAAGTACAATCATTTCCTCCAAGTTGTAGTGGGATGGGGATGATAAAACGGAAATACTTAAATAGAAGTACCTCAAACACCACTGTATAAAAGCCCTGCAATTTGGTAGAGATATATTGAAACCTAAGTCTGTGTGATTCAGGTCTAACTCATGTATCTCCCCAGGTATATCTAGCCCCTCAGAGCCTGGCCAGGAAACGTATATGGAACAAAAAATACCCCATCTGCATTGAACTTGCCAAACAGGATGACTTCATGTCAAAGACTGAGGGGGAGTCCAGCGAGAGCCTCAGCACAAGGGACAGGGGGGCTCAGGAGCGAGGGGGGTCCTCCTCCAGTAGAGAGCTCACCCTCTATCTGTTCGGAAGGACGGGGAGGGAGAAGGAGGAGTGGTTCCAGCGCGCTCTGTCTGCATCCAAGCTAAAAGCGGACACAAAGAAAACTGGAAGTGTTGCAGCAACTAAGAACGGTGAGCAATACTGATGATTGTGCCCACAGTTGTCTCCTTCCAGAATTGGATAAAGGATAGCTTGGATGTTCTGAAGTGGGGTTGTATGAGGTACTTATCCATACTATATTTTTTGACCTACAATAGATGTCCCCCCGATTTGATCAACTGACATCAGTATTAGCACGGAAGCTAAGCAATGTGGCGAGGGAAGAAGCAAATCATTAGCCACCTTAAAAATGCTCATCTAAAAACATAGAATCAATTTCAGAGAACGCTTTATTTCATATATTTACACTGATTTACATTGCTATGAGACAGCCTGTTACCTACACCAGACTTCATTGAAAACAGTAATTTCATGTTGCTGTTTTACCTCAGCAAGGTGAGATATATTTGTATGCTTTACAGATACAAAGATGGCAATTCTGATCCTGATTTTTAGTAGTTCACAAAATGCAATTTGATAATGAATTGTCTAATTCCTCACCCTTTTTGTGATTTCTTATTTTTTATTCCCTGTGGTCTACAGCTCCGATCTCTCACAGTCGCAGCAGCAGTCGCGGCAGTTTGGACGAAGCTCTAGCATCTCAGCCCAGGTCGAAAGACTCCTCGGTATCCTCAACAACAGCAAGCGGTGCCAGAACCAAACCGCTGCTGGACTACAACGTATACATGGCCTCCTTACTGCCAAAACAGGCGGTAGTCAGCCCTGCAGTGGCCAGCCCTGCTCCTCAGAGTCCTCAGAGCAGCCCGGGGGTAGATAAGAAGGTAGCATCCTACACTTGTACTACTAAGTCCTTTTCCTTTTCTAATTTCCTTCCTTAGGTGACAAATGTGTCTTGTCATTTGCGATTTAACCTTACTGTGTCACAAGCTGTGTAATTAATAACAAGTAGCTCATCAGAATCAGAAACAAGCCTATGGCCAAGTACATTTACACAGTAAGAGGAATTCATTTGTAAGAAAAGGAGCAAACAGAAACACTTTTATACAATTCAAAATAAAAGTTGACAATTAATATACATCTTCAGTACTGAACTGATTCCAAATCCTCTGGCTGCCATATTTGGGGTTATAGGAAAGGAGATGCATTTAACTGCAGAACGGCGTCGATCTCTGTCCTTTGCTCTCCTCCGAGCTCGTCAAGCCGTCCTGCTTAAGTGGAGGGACAGTGTCCCGCCCACTCACTCACAGTGGTTGAAGGACGTTATGTCCTGCATGAAACTTGAAAAGATCAGTTATTCACTTCTTTACTCAAACAGGACATTTCAGGAAGCCTGGGAACCTTTTTGAAATGCATTCCACACTCTGTAAGACGATCTGCTATTGGTATAGCTTATCTGCAGCATATGTATGTATGTGTGTATGTATACAGTAGATGTGTATGATTATAGGTATTTGCTGCATGTATGTATAATCTGCATATGTATTACATGCATATACATTCATTTAACAATGTTCCTGGTAAATAATCGTGTGTATGAGGCTCACTGGCAGTGAATGTAGGGGATTACTTTAGTTGTTGTTATTGTTTGTTTGTGTTTTTTGTAATTATTTTGTTTCTCTTTGTACATACAATCAGTACAGACGATTGTCTCATTTTGCATATATTTTTGCTTCCCACTTCTAAATGACAAACATTACTTATGCATTGTCGAAATGCAATAAAAAGATTTTTGATCAGACAATTATTATACAGAAATATATACAAACAAGCAAGTAAAATGAGAATATGACAAACCTCTGAATTATAAAATATTTGCAGTATAACAGAATTTAAAGTGACAATATATTGTTCCTTATCACCTAGATTTTAACATGGGTAGATTTGGTATATTTTCCTCTAATGTGTTTCCTTGCCTGCTGTTTCTCAAGCTCCAGAGCACCACTTCATCTCAGCCGCCGCCCAGGGAGGAGGGAGAGGAGGAGGTGATGGAGGAGGATCATGTTGCCTGGCTGAATGCCACTCTGGGCCGGGTCTTCTGGGACTTCCTGTGTGAGCCGTACTGGGCTGAGCTGGTGTCCAAGAAGATTCAGATGAAGCTCAGCAAGATACGGGTGAGTGGAGCAAGGCCACTACAGTAACCAGCTTTCACTGTAAGAGGGCTGGACATTTTAACAGCCAGACAAGAGAAACATTTTTAAGAGTACAGAAGATTACAAATAAACGATCATTTTAATTTCTGAAAGTCCAATTATCCTGTTTTGTCAGTCCAAAAACTAAATATATTTCCTTTTCTTTGACTTGACACAGAGAATAGCAGAAAAATATCCACATATGTTATGCCATTTTTGCATAACAAATTACTTAAAGTCTTAATCAGTTGGCAATAAAGTTAGCAATTCTCGCTCCACTGATGGAACACACACACACACACACACACACACACACACACACACACACACACACACACACACACACACACACACACACACACACACACACACACACACACACACACACACACACACACACACACACACACACACAGAGAGAGATAAAGCTCACTAAATGTCAGTGTGTATCTCTGTACAGCTTCACACTTAGTAAAGATGCAGTGGGAGAAAGACAGGAAAACCTCATCCTTCACTTGTATCCCGTCAGCTAGGAAGATACAGCACATAGGTTATGCCTATTTGTTATGGTCTGTGTGACACAACATCATGTGGCTACACAAATAATCGAATGACTACAAAATAGTATTATTATAATTCTTTATGGAACAAAACTAAAAAAGTAATCTAGATAAAGCTGACTAAATATGATTAATTAAAAAAAAAAAGTGTGTGTGGTGAAGTGTATTTATTCCATTATCCATTTTCTTTTTTTTCATGCTGGCATCCTATACTCTTTGACAGATATATGGTGATGAACCACTTCCTTCAATTTGGTCAGATGATAATCTGCTGATGTATTATTCATGTCCAGTGTGCTCAGCTCAGTTCTATTCTTTTGTCTTCCTCAGTTACCTTACTTCATGAATGAGCTAACCCTGACAGAACTGGACATGGGCTCGGCCACTCCCAGAATCCTCGGGGCATCCAAACCCTCCATTGACTACAGAGGCAAGAAATAAATCAATGTTAACACACACTCTCACACAAACACACACACACACACTGTTTCCTGTGAAGAGATACTCACATGTCTCGCCAGTAATGCTCACTGTGTGGTACATTCTGGGAAGACTCCATTCACTGCGCGGATGTTAGCTATGTCCACATTGAAGATAACAAGATAACTGGTGGAGATGCTAGCTAGTGTCTATCATGATGCATTGCTATGAAGCTGACACACTCAAGTCATTCAAGTGTCTGGTTTTCCCCTCGGAAACTGGTTAGTTTAGTACATTAGCTAAAGTGCATATGCCATCTAAACACACAAACACATGGTTCCACATAGGACAATGAATTGTACACTTTAAGACACACACAACTAGGGATGCTCCGATCCGGCCGATATTCACTCTCGGCCGATCGATCGGTGCTCTCTATAAAGGCCGATCGGGAGAGCCGATCACATGACGTAAAATACAGGACACTTTTCTCTGTGCGCGGCAAAACAAGCTCGCCAAAATGGCTTCACCGGTCTGGCAGTATTTTAAGGTGTCTGAAAATGACAGTAAAATAGTGGTATGCAACGTGTGTGTGAAGCAGAAATCCTGCAGCTCCACCCGCTGTGACGGACCGGTGAGCGGAGCGAAACACACACTAAGAGTTAGACCTAACACACTTAGCTATTTGATCTACCTCTGGAACAAGCTAAACTAGTTATACATATGTTTATTCTTCACTGTCGGGTCACTCATTACTGGATCAGTGAGCTGCATGAGATACTGACGGGCTGTCAGGAGAGAGAGGGGGGGGGGAGAGAGGAAAAGAGAGCGCTTCCGCCCGTGTTATTATCCAAAGTTAATGTAAACTTGAATAATATACATAATTTGAATGTAATAATTATGTTGGTTGTTGTTTGTGGAAGCGCCAGTGAATGAGCCCCATTAACTGAGTTTTAAACATCACTTTAAATGGAAGATCCCCATAGCCCCCACCCACTCGATCGGATCGGCAATCGGTATCGGCCGATACTGATTCCGGCGATCGCCCCCAAAATTGGCGATCGGAGCATCCCTACACACAACGAATTGCATTCCACAGACATTTTCTGAAATCTGTTAAAAAGTGCAACTCTTCTGCAGGCCAGATGAAACATTTCTCTTGCTTGAAGGCACTCACTTAAGAGAAGCAGAAATTCCACACATGCAAGACCTACAATATATGATAACATCTCTAAAGATATCTATATTCATGTAATTAATGGTGTGGCACTGAACATTTTTTTCATCCATACATATGGAAAAATCTAAGAATTCTGAGTTTCATTTCGAAAAAACATCAAATGAACAATAAGTACATGATGCAGCAAGAGAAAAATGTAATCCCATTAAGTGTCAAAGAGGCCCTATTATGCTTTTTGGGGTTTTCATTTTCCTGCCGTGTGTTATTTAGCTTTTTGTGCATTTTAATGGTCTGCAATGTCTAAAATCCCTGTGTTCCCTCTAGAAGGAGTTTATGTCCCACACACTTTGTTTACTTCCCCAGCATAGTGACATAACCCACGCCCTCTGCCCTGCTTGTTTGTATTTTTAAAGATAAATGGGACCATAATTGATCAAATAGAACGCATTTTGTATTGAAGAAGACTTCAGTTTTAAGCCTTTTGTATTAGAGCAATAGTAAAGCCAAGAAAATATCCTTTATTTGTCCTCATAAATGAGCTATAGCAGTTAATGTTGGGATGGGCTATATAAATATAGCCCATCCCAACAGTAACTGCTTCATTCAGGAAGCACAGGCAAAGTGAGTGCATCACACTGGAGCCTAACTTGCACTTATACCCACTCAGCTGTCAGGCAGTGGTACCAAGGTTAGAGTGACTTGCTTATTACATGGAGGCCTTTTATTTGGTTAAATGAAGTAAAAACCTTTCCCCTCCTACAGCGGCCACTAGCCAGTCTGACCAACAGTAGCACTGCACAGAGTTCAGTAGGGAACAGTTGTTTACTGGACACTTGCAGGTGGTCTAAAAGCAATGTGATCAGTACCAAGAAATCTCCATTACAATCGTGTTTTGTACAATAGATCCAGGAAAACACTTCATAAGTGAGGGATTTGGTTCAGGAATAGAATTTGATTGGTTATCGAGGTCTTAGCTGAGTACAATACATTCAGGCTGGTCTGTAGGTCGGATAAGTCGAGGCTGAGCTATGTGAGGTCTTTGCTTTGTGAGGGACCATACATTAGTGCACAACTATGTTTCCTGAAGTATCAGTGACGTTTCCAGCTGATTATTATGTCATCATCATTGAGCTTTTCATTCCTTTGCACTGCATTGCTTTCTCTCTTACACTCAGTCACAGATCTGTCTCTTCAGTCGTTTTATTTGTACACTCCAACTTTCTCTCTTCCTCTTGCGTTCCCTTTCATTGCATCTTCCTCTTTGTGTCCTCGCTCACTCTTTTGTCTCAGTTTCTCTCTTCCTCCCTCCTGTGTGTTATGAGTCACTGCCTCGTTCTTTTTTAATAACGTACCACTCGCCTAACGGCATAATGAGAGCAAGAATTGATCTCTAACTGAGATGGTGTTTATTGGAAGCATTCCAGGAAAAACTCACCTCACTCCAAACACAATGTGGAGTGATCTTCAGCTCTAATTGCACTTTCATTCGGAAAATTGCAATATGTAGCCAAATACTTTGATTGCAAGTCAATCGATGGAGATCACTCACTGTCAATCGCAAACAGAAAAGTGGTTCCCTTTTTTACACATATTTCTCTGAAGTGAAAGGAAGCAGGAAAGAGGCACATGCTCCAAAACAAAGGACTAAAGATAAACAACAATGGCACTTGGAGAGGGCACACCCTGTCAGGGCCGATGGTGTATTCACATGTTGCTTTGAACTAGTCTCATTTCCACCGTTGGAAAGTCGTTGAGCTTGAAGTCATCATGTGGAAACAACATAAAAGCTACAAATAAGAATAGTTGTAGTAGTGTTCAAGCAACATGTTGATAGCTGTTTCTGAGTTGTGAAGAGGAAGATACAACCCCGTTTTTTTGAGAATTGTGATAGAATGCAGTGCAACGCAAAGGTTATCCGCTGTATTAGATGTGTCCGACCTTTGATTTTGGATCCTCTCTAATGCCCCTTTCACACCAACGCAACTCCGGTTCAAGCTCCGTGCTAGCGCTTTTCTGGTTCAGAACCGGTTCTTCGGTTTAGCGCCGGCTCTTTTCACACCGCTCAGAGCCCGACTGGTGCTGCCGCTGCTGCGTCATGACGTCACAGTTTACGTCGCTGAGTTTCTCCCCAACGCCGGAGCTCACCTCACAATAACAACGGGCCGGGGACTGCGTTGCTTTTAATCATACGAAGCCAGATTAAATTAAATAACGACTTCTCCAACCTTATACTTTTCTCCAGAGTGCCGTGGTTCATTGTTTATTAATGTGTTTCAGCGGCATTTACCGACCGCTGCAGTGCTGCTGCTCTTCCACGAGTGTATTCTCCCGTTAGCTCCGGGTTAGCTCACACGGCTCTAAAGTATTCACTGTCTGACTGTCACACAAGCAGCTGATACATATCCCCAGTTCCCCTTAAGTGAATGTGTGTCAGTCTGAATTGACGCTGTTTGGTGTCAGTCTGAAACGCTGTTATGAAAGTTTCTCTGGTATAACATGGGTGATGTTAGCATAGCAACCGAAGCTAAACTGACTACTTGCTAAGCAGTTTTCTACAGGCACTTTTTACCGACGTATTTTTCATTATGATTCTACTTGTGATAGTCGGACATGACAACCTGTGCAGCCCATGTATTGATTCCATCCGATAGCTGCTATAATAACAAACAAAACGTCTGCCTGCTCTCCACAATGATCAATAACACCGAACGGATGGTCAAAGTAAGGTACAAATAAACAGAATCACACGAAGCCTGGTTAGTGTTGCCTGACTTTATAAAGTGTGTTTTTTTTTAACAAGTGTGTGGTTGCGTTCTAGTCACTTTGCTCAGCACTACTGCTTGTTACAACTTTTATTTGCCGTACTCGCCTTAAGTGTTAGCTCAGGTTAATCTCGCCCCCCTCCGACGTAAGCGTGACGTATGCGGTTCTTGCTTCTAGACGGACAACTTTTTGGTGCTCGAAACGAACCGGATTCCGGAGCTATGACGCTGCTCCGCTGCGGTGTGAACAGGAAAACCTGGTGCTTTTCAAGCACCAGCACCGAACCGGCCCTGAAACACCGTTGGTGTGAAAGGGGTATAATATGTAATGGGATCTTCCTTGGCCCATGCACCCTTCCACCAGGGTGAAAATCGAGCAAGTAGTATTTCATTTTTTTACTGAGCCATGTGCATGCTCCTGTTGTCTGCTGTGTGTTTCCACAAAGGATGGCCTTGAAGTGCAAGTTCGAAAACTTTGAGTGGAAACAGTCTGTTAAGTTCCCCTTTTGAGAGATTTCCACTGGTGTTACAGTGGCTGTATCTTTTAGGCGACTCAAGTTCTGCCTTCACCATGTCTGACCGACTCCTTCCTGGAACAAGCATACTGAGTGCAATGGATCGATGAGCCTCAAGCTGTGTGTGTTTATGTGTGTGTGCGTTTCTGCTCAGGAAGTGTCCATGCTCATTCAATTGTGCGGACATTGCCTTATGCTCATCATATACTGTCAATTTCTGGATGCATATTAGCAGTCCTCCTGCATGAATGAAGGCATTTCTTTCGCAGGATGTGCAAACACACGCTCCCAACTCTTCGCCGTACGGCTTCTCCCCAATTAAGGAGGCAGTGTATTGCGTCCAGCAGCTTCTCTCCTCTCCCACATCCAACACACCTCAGTGCCCTGCATAAACCTAGACCCAGCCACTCTTACTATCCACCACACCCCCCTGGACAGGAGAGGAAATCCATGCCTCAAGGTTTCCACTTTGTCTTACTGCCTCACTTATTTTGCTCTATCAAACCTTCTCTGACTTTCTTTGGGTCCCCAGTTTTGGTTTTGTTTGTCCTTGTGTTTGTTGCATTCCCGTAATACATACAGGGTTAGTACATAGTCTTGAGCATTTAAAAAATGCTTTGTCAAAACAGTTGTTTTTTCGAGGTTGAGAATATGCGTACTCAATCTTTAAATGATTGAAATAAACCTATCCCATTGCAATATTTATTTGTAGTCTCCTGGCAACTCACCCCAGAGGTGGAGAAGACCGGAGCTAGCTAAGCATTTAAGAATCCTTGTGTTCAAAACCTAATCAAGGTTGATATGAACAGCTGGTGAAATAAACAGATTGACACTTTACAATAATATCTGTGTGTTTGAGGGTATTTTTCCCAATTGAATTTATTGTAGCACTTAAATGTTATGATGACGCTCTTGAAAGTTGCAAACTTGTTATGAACTGTACATCCTATCTCATCAAACTCTTTCCTTTTTCCTTTCTGTACTTGGCCCTGTCTACTGTTGTCAGGAGAGCTATTTTAAACCCTAAGGACTGTGTTAGCTGAGCACTTAATGTTTTCCATTGCACACATGCATGTGTGTCTTGGTTGCAACCAAGTGCAATGTGTTTCTGTTAAGTCTTAAATAGGCCCATTATTATATTGAAGTATGATGGCTCCAACTTTGGCACTGCTATCTAAGTTGTTTATACATTACATAACTACACCGTAGTTGTTTATGTTATGACAATAAACCTTTGAATCTTGAATCTTATAGTTGTTTGGGTCTTCCCTTTCCTATAGTGTGATATATAGCTTTTTGTGGATACAAATAGTCTGAAAAGGTTCAAATCCTTGGACTCCTTTGTTTACTTCCGTAACATAGTGCCATCACTATGTAACACTCGCGCTTCTATTGGCTCACGCTCCAACACATTGTATGTCACAGGCTAAGGGGTGGCACATCTCTTAGCGGCTGACCAATCACAACAGAGCCGGCCAGCTAACCAATCAGAGCAGACTGGGCTCTGGTTTCAGACAGAGGGTGAAAAGAGGTGCTGCAGCACAGGCAGGATGAGAGAAATAAAGAGCTTTCTGAACACTAAAGCATGGAGACATGTCCCAGTAGAGACACTACATACTGATATACACCTGAACATGGGCAGAATAGGGCCCCTTTAATGGCTATCATCCTCTAACTCTCTCACCCCTCACTTAATTCATCTTTCCTGCGTCATCAGTCATCCTCTGCTGCCTCCTACTGGTCTAAAAGGAAACAATACCCAAGGTCATGTTTAGATGTTGCTCTTTGTACACAATAACATGTGATAACAACCTGTGTTGTAACCAGAAAGGGACAGAGAGAAAGAAACAAAAAAAGAAACATAACTTCCCCCACGCAAACATCGATTAAGGCTTTGGAAGATTTCGTATAATCCACATTTTGGGAGCAGAGGTCAAAGGAATAGAGGGAGAACCCTGTTTATGCAGCCAGTGCTCCCATGCTGATATCAAACTGAGGCTCGAGGGTGATACTGGGCTCTCTCCAACGGTTTCTCCTCTGTTCAAAGGAGCTTGTGATCTCTCCTTCTTTCTTCAGTGTGTCTAAGTGGTAGGGATCAAGACAATAACATCTGAGTCCCCTGCTTTGTGATACTTTGAGGGAAGAGTGGTGCTGCAGAAAGACAGCTAGGAAGGTATCTAGAGGTGGGGAGACAAAGGAGTGAGAGAAGGATGGAGAGATTTAACAGGCAGGGAGGACGAATGAGGGCTGGGGGGCTCCGTGTGTCGAGGAGTCTGTTGTTAAAACTCAGAGCATCTGGACACTATGATAGTATTTTAAGATGAGATTGTAACGGACAAAATGAACCATTTGTTTACTGCATCACAGATCTTTTATTTTGTGGATATCAATATCAAATGTTTTCATACAGGTTCAATATTTCACTTCTCTAACATGTTAGCAAGCTCGCAAGCTTTTTTGAGTGACATATGTTTAAACGCACCACAACATCCCAAAACATTTCCATTATGAGAAACATGTTGCAGTTTCAAAAACAATGCAAATACAAAAACACAAATGTGCCAAAACACATGCAAATAAAGAAACGTCTTGTATCACAGCTGGGACCTGAGTGCTGGTTGACGTTAGGGGATTTGGCCACCGTACATATGTGAAGATATTTGCAATGTTCCCACTGTTGGACATTTGCCACAATAGACATACTGTCAATGTTTGACTGCAATCTGTGATACATTTTAATTTGTATTCTTACTATACATACTTGCCGCTAATGATAATGATATTTGTATCCTTTAAAAACTGTTGGCACAAAATAATGTCCCTATTTGGGAGAATATCTATCTATCTATCCCTAATCATGACTGTGCTTGTGTTTAGATGTATTAACATAACAGTGATCTGTTTTACGGGTATATATCTTTCACTTCACACTTTCACTTCTTGAATTTTCTCTCAGATCCCTTTTTCTAATGACCCCCTATGTCCCTCAGGTCTGTGGTTTGACCTGGAGATGTCCTACAGTGGCTCCTTCCTGATGACCCTGGAAACCAAGATGAACCTGATCCGCCTGGGCAAGGAGGGAGAAAGTGACCGCTTTGGGGAATTTGGGAAAGATGGGTGAGACATCACACCTTTGCAGTTAGATGAAATGCCTTTCCCCTCTAATTGACTCTAAAACGTGTACATGTCTCTGTGAGGTGTCTTGCTCTCACTCAGTATTCTATATCTTTGCTGCCTTTTATATCTTCTCCTTTCTCTTCTCTGCTGTTGCCTCTCTATCTGGATTCCACCTTTATGCGGCTGTTAATCGGATGTTTCTGCTCTTGGTGAGTGCTGCCACAGTGATCTCATCTTTCCAACTCTCATTCTCTACTTGTGTATGTCTATAGTCTTGGGGTTGTCTCATTTCATGCTACCCCCACCAAAGCTTCATCTCATTTAGGATTCATTTCTCAGTGCGTCTAGTGCCTTCATCTGCTTTCCCAAATCTATTTTCAGCAATGAGGAGGAACAGAATACGTACAAATATGTCAGGGTGAATTCAGCAAAGACCTATCATGCATTTTGTATTGGTGCAACCAGAAAATACTGTGTGCATGTACGTAGGTACTTCTCATGGCTATACTAGTTGCCAGTAAATGAGAAGTGAGATGCCAGTCCTCAGTGAACCACATAAGAATCAGTTTCACTTTTGATTACATCTGAGAATTGACAACACTGCAGAAGACATCCTCTTAGGCCCCTACACACCAGGCCGATATTTGTTTGAACTCTTACCTTACTGCATTCTCTCTCAGAACACTGATGTTTCCAGAGGGACATCACTTGCTTTGCTCATGGAAGCAGTCATGGATATGCACACTAGGACATTCATGATGCTGCTTCATTTGAGTTGGCATTGACTAAGTAGACAGGTAGTTGCAGGAGATATATAAATGAATCTAAACTTGTCAAAAAGGTCTCACATATTACCATTAAAGAGTTAACTAATGTTGAGGGACCCAAACAAATTATGTTTAGGAAACTGGGCTGGGCCATATGAAGAAAATCGTGAACCATGATTTTGATCAATTATCATCAGTTATGTCGATGTAATTAATAAGTGGCTAAAGACAAAAAAAAGTTTGTTGGATTCAGAAAATCACTTTACTGTCATGCAGCCTTCAAACCATGAAAAGGAAACACTTAAGATGTTAAGATCCAAAATCTAAAACCATATCTAGTCTCTTATCACACAATCTCTTATAATCTAACATCTATACATTGCCTAGCCCTATGTTGGAGACATTGCACCTTCTTTATTACTGCACTATTCGTTAACCACAAATGAGCATTTGCTCGACGACAATGCACATGTCGACCAGTTGCCTGATATTTGAATAATCGAGTCTTCTCTGATCCTCCTCATGAAACACTCTTGTCACGTTCTGATGCTCATGTGTTTATTGTTTTGTTTGTACAGTACACTATAATTCAGGTACAAAGAAAGATGAAGAGCAGAACAGTGTGAATGTGTGTGTGTTTATTCTAATCTGTTTGTGTTTGTTTGTGTTTCAGATGCAGGCCCCGGACGTACTGCCTGGCTGATAGTGATGAAGAGTCGTCCAGCGCTGGCTCTTCGGATGAGGAAGACTCCTCAGAGCTCTCTAATGACTCAGCCGGAGCAGAGGGGTGAGAGTTCAGTGTATATAGCCGCTTTCACACCAAGTACTTTGCCGTACTTAGTTCCCAGCACTTATGGCGCATTTCCACTACAGGGCCTCGCTCGGCCTCGCTCGGTATGGCTAGGCCTCGTTAGGCCTTGTTAGGACTGGCTCACTTTATGCTGCGTTTCCATTACAGTTTAGTAGCTGGGGCAGTAACTATAGTAACGCAGTGTAGGCGGAGCCGTGACGTAATCTTCAAGATAACCTAGGGCTGCTCAATTAATCGTATTTTAATCGCAATTACGATTATGGCTTGCAACGATTACGAAAACAACGTAATCGAAATAAAACGATTATTTTTTTATTATTATTATTTCTTTTTTTCTTTTCTTTTTTCCAAATAAAATTTTTTTTTTTTGGTTTTTCAGTTGAATTATACTTAAAGTTCAGGGTAATCAACTGTTAAAAACATACTGTTCAAAAAAAAATTCTCCAATAAATTGATGTTTTCAAAGTAAATGGATAATCGTTTTTAATAATCGTGATTTCAATTATTGACCCAAAATAATCGAGATTATGATTTTTGCCATAATCGAGCAGCCCTATGAGAACCACAGAAAAACAACATCAGCTGTTAGCTGTTAGCACTCAGAGCTCACAGCTCCTCATATCTGTTCAGAAACTAGACAAAAGTTAAACAAGTACAAACCACAGACTGCCTGTGTCATGGTGAATACAGTCGCTGCTTTATTTATGTCTGTATAGGCCGTTGTTGTGAGTGTGGACGGTCGGGGCATATACTGCGTTAGCTTAGCCAATCTCCATTCAGAAAACACGCATTTTAAAAGGTTTTTTGCCTGCCGTCTGTCTGCAGACTTGACAAAGCATTAATTCATGGTTTTTACTAACCGGTATCAGTATGTTGTTACTTCGGCCTCATTTTGAAACGTGTATTACAATTAAATCACGGTCAAATATGTTCATTTTGTTGTAGTTGTAGCCCCCTTGCCAGCGATTCTCTCTCTAGTTTAGCATACTCAGCCCGACTCAGCCTCGTTGTTGGCCCGGAAAGAACCTCGATTTTATGGGGCCAGAAAAACTGTGAAATAGTACCCGCTAGCCGGAACTACGCCAAGTAGAAACGCAACCAAAAACGGGCCCGGCACGCTTAAAGCGAGATCCGCGCTGTAGTGGAAATGCGCCATAAGAGCCGATCGCGTTCACACTGGAATAATTCCCTGAGGGAAGATTACGCAAATGAAGCCGCTAACGTCACTTCTTCTTCTTCTGCTTTGGGTTTACTGGCAGGCCGCAAACAGCTTCACGGCGTATACTGCCACCCGAAGTCCCCGGCCGGAAGTCCCCGGAGTTGGAAGGCTTCAGTAGAAGCTGCTGGGACTCCCAGCAGCTTCTACTGAAGCCTTCCGAGTGAATCGCCAGAACGCCGACACCTCCTCATCTCCACCGCTCCCATGTTTTTTTTTGTGTTGCCATAAGTTATTCTCTCTCCGTTGGTGCGCGGGGCTAATTCTAATGCTAATAATGCTAATGCCAGCAAATACAATGGCGGCTTAAAAAAACTTTTCAGAGTTTTACGGGGCGTGGTTTGCAATTCGCCCAGCCAATCAGAAATTGGTACTTTTTATCCCCAGGATAGTCCCACCTCTCTAGCAGGCAATACAAATGGGGGTAAAAGTTCTCCGAACTAAGTTCTCTTTTTGGTTTGAACGCAAAATTCCAGGCACTAACGGAAACTAAACGGGAAAAGTATGGGTAAAAGTACTCCGGTGTGAAAGCGCCTATTGCTTTCTCTGTGCTCATATAATGTTGGTATCTTCCAACCTGGACGCTATTTTTGCGTGTTTTCTGACTAATAGGAAAACCATTTTTGAAATTGGTTCAGTATTGAGCGTGAGCACGGCAGCCACGAAAACAGGGATAACATGTAATACCTTGGGCTAAAAAGGGCTACTGACAGATATATAAAATGTTTTCTTTATATTAAGCTTAACATGTTCTGTTTGTTATTGAGGCCAACCAAGTGTCACTCACAGAGGTCTCCATATAACATTTAGTGTCTCTTCCACAGTGTAAAAAACAGCTAAATCTTCAGTCATGACATTGAAAATATTGTATATAACACTAAGCTCCTTTAATACAAAAAACGTTTCCCATCTCTCCTCGCATGTCTGTTGATGTCTTCTGGCCACAAGTAACTTCTTATGAGATTGACAATGCATTTATATTATTATTTAGATATATTCAGTTATTTAATGCATACAATTAAGAAACTTCTGGATTACATTTCACTGACATGTACATTGTCACAAATACATTGATACTGGACCAATTCTTAAAAAGTCATATCACCTTCATTTACTTGATCCAGGTTAAAAGTATTATATGAGAAACGTATGTATATTAACAATTTAAGTAGGAAGAAAGAAGCATAAAAGTTGGTATTTTTAAAATGTTAAAATGAAACTTTGAAATGGATCTTCGAGTAGGCCTAACAAAATAAACTGATTTTAATTTGGACAAAAGAGGTATCTGTCCACCATTATTATGTAGGCAGGCATGACAAAACAATGTTAAATATCATATCAAAAGAATGTAGGATTATATTTTTGTTGTGGTGTTCCAGTAAATGTAACCCTTATCTTCTTTTCCCTCTTTTATTGAATGCAGTTTGGTTGGAGGCCACAAACCCAGCAAGATCATGCGCTTCGTGGACAAGATCACAAAGTCCAAATACTTCCAGAAGGCCACAGAAACGGAGTTCATCAAAAAGAAGATGGAGGAAGTGTCGAACACGCCTCTCCTGCTGACTGTGGAGGTGCAGGAACTCCGAGGAATGCTGGCCGTCAACATTCCCCCCCCACCCACTGACAGGATCTGGTATGTGAAGGATGTCTTGTTCTTCTTCTAACTCATTTGGGGAATGCTGTGCAAAGTGAATTAATCACATCATCTGCAGCGAGAGTGATTTGAGTGACAGATGGAAAACACAGACAACCTTGTTGATTACAACTTTCTAACTTAACATTATTTTATTTCTGAATGGTGGCGAGTTCATGAGAAACATTCTTAAGAAGGATATGTGTACACCTGACAACTCAAATTAATTTTGCACCGCAGTTGCATGTTTTATTGAAAATGTCAATATAGCAATCTGTTTGATACACTGCCCTCTGCTGGTAGTGCATACTTTGTGTTGTATCAATAAAGTGATGAAGTATCTTTTAAGGCAGAGTCACAAAGCCTCCCTCTAAAAAAAGCAATAGGATTTTTGTATTTTATTTCAGTATATTGCAGACAATAACATCAGTGGCAACGCACGTTTATCATACTTACACATTTTTAAGCAGGATAATCTTCACTTATTAACACCACGTTATGATTTATGAAGCGTAAATGCAATCGGCAGAAGTACAGAACACAAGGCTATAAACAAACTACATTATGGTCTCATAACTGCGCGTCAACACCGCTGAGCTAAAGGCAGCTGATGTTTGCTGTGATAACATTTAGTTGTCTCATTTAAACACTTGTTATCAACTGCTGTTTTTATGACACGTAGAAGCTTCAGATGTTCACAAAGGGGGTATTTACTGAAGTATTTTATGTTGTAGAATAAAATGGGAAAATCTCTTAGGCTTGTGTTAAAGGTGGGGTAGGTAATTTTGGAGAAACCAGCTCGAGTGCGCTAGAATTTGAAAATACCCCTCCTCCAACACACACGAACGCGCACATGACCTATGAGGGCACGAGATAAGTTTGTGCACAGATGGAAGGCTGACAGGCAGGTAGGCCATCCAGTTATTTTAGCCGGGCCGGCTAAAATGATTGGTCGTGCTTTTTACAGTACTACGGCTTCCACATTGTCAAAGCATTTAATATATTAATTGCTATCGGGATGTTAAGAGCATTCCATGGAATATAACAAAAAGTGTTTCTGAAATAAATTACATACCCCACCTTTAACCACAGACCTTATTTCAGGCATCTAACCGAAAACATGTTCAAAAACTGTTGACTTTTGAGACGAGGTAACCGGATGTCGTGACAAGGTTAACACATTTTAAGGTTTATAACTACTTTTTTGACCTTCTTAAGAGAAGACATTTTCTAAATATTGACCGGCCTTGATTTCTATTTCTATTAGGTCTACATGTGTCACCTGTTGAAATGGCTTGTAATGAAATAATAAATAGTTGTGACCCTTTCTGTCGCAGGTATGGCTTCAGGAAGCCGCCTCACCTGGAGCTGAAGGCGCGGCCTAAGCTGGGAGAGAGAGTCGTGACTCTGGCTCACGTTACAGACTGGATCGAGAAGAAACTGGACCAGGAATTCCAGGTATTGACACTATATATTTTTTAGGGCTATGTAATTCAGAGGCACAGTACTTGTGATAGGAGGCAGCCTGCTGCAGCCGATCCCGGTGTTTGCATACATTCTTTACCCCTTTTTTATGTGTGTGTTTTTTCAACAACTTTGTCTGTGTTTTCTACAGTTCATATGTATAAAAATCCTGTTGTTTTTAACTCATGTGAAATGCTTTGTTAACATGCTTCAGTAACAAAAACATTTCCCAATTTAGAAAACATAGAGTACATCTAATATAATATGAATCCATCCGGTCAAGATGATATACACATATATATCAAATATTTCCAAAGTTGAGTACATCTTGTGATTAACTGCCGCAGTTCCATTTAAACGTATTGCATTTTGTCTGAAATGTTGCTGTTATAAATAAAGTGGCATCATATTTTCTATTCATCTTTTAAATAGTGATTACAAGCTCAAATGTTAAAAACTCCAAATAAATGTGCCATCTCACATCTCAACTTTATCCATCAAATACACTGTTCATCTTTTTATTCAACATATCAACTTATTTACATCTTATTACAGTACGTTACATAAATGTTTTTACGGTACAGTTTTGCACCTTACATTATGTTAACTAACTAAGTTGCATCATTATGTCTATTAGTCTTTTTTTATTGCAGAATTGTATGTATTTATTTATTTATTATGTATATATTTGTGCACTATTGGAGGGGTCTAGGACTTCCGCTTTTCATTGGGCTGTAGCTATTATGAATATGACCGTAAAGCCTTTGAATTTGAATTCTGAATCCATGGGTCTCTCTCCTCCTCATAGAAAATCTTTGTAATGCCAAACATGGACGATGTGTGGCTGACTGTCATGCACTCCGCCATGGACCCACGCTCGGCCGGCGGACCCTCAGAGGGCCTCGCAGTGGACCCTGAGCCTTCCCAGCCAGAGAAGGACAACACCTGCCAGCCCTGAAGATTGTTTACAGTATTTCCTCCAGCTTGTGAAGCCTCAAAATGGGAGCCGAAGCCGCAACTGTAACACAAATCCATTCCTGTGGTGGGGGGTCAGAGGAAGCCTTATGAGTTTTAAAGGGTTAAGGTGGAGTCGACCAAGCAAACACTAAAGACAAACTGCTGCTTGCTGCTCTGCTCAGCAGGATTTATTGTGCCAGAGGAAAAAGGTGATGTGTCTTTGAAGGATTTATAAACCTGTAAGAACCTATTGAATAGGACTAATGTGAAGAGTCATGTTTGGCTCAGCCGGTTGAAGTTAATAAGGGGAGTGTATGGGTACAGTAAATGTAGAACTTGCTATGAACATGATGTGGAAGCATTCACCAGATACCTTACAGCCTGCAAACGACAAGTTTCTGCTAAGATAGTAGCCCGTTTATTATACAAATACAGTCAAAGCAGTTTTACAATATGATTAGAAGGATTTTCATATTGAATGATTGAATGATTGAGGATGAACAAAGATCGGAAAAGCTTATATACTTGATGTTCGATTTCTTACGACATTTAGTTGTCTTAATGTAAGTGGTTTTTGTTCAGGTGTTAACAGTTAACAGTATTTATTTGTGCTGTGAACCCACCATTCATCTGCCAACACCCCCTTGTTTTATGCCAATGATGCCCTTATTCATGTGGAAATAATGCACAAGAGTAAGCATACATTACCTAGGAAAAGTGTCATTCACTATGTAAATTCCATACTAATGACATAACACAATAAGTGCAATGATAGAAACACAAGGTTAACTATGGTGTGATCTGGTATAAAAGTGTATGTCTGATAAGAAGTATGAGACCTCTAACATGTTTATTGAATGTATGTGTGGATGCTTTTGGTTTCTTTTTTTACCCAGACAAATTTGACCGGTATGCAAATAATTGCACAAATACATGTTTTGTCTTATGTAACTATGTTCCGGAGAGGCAAGTGAGAAGAACATGTGGTGATCCATTTACATCTGTCCTGTGTGTGTTACTATGGAACAGGTGTTATCAGGAAAATCTTTCTAAACTTCTTTAAAAATAATTTGAGAAACGGGTGGGGGGGGGGGGAAATAATGTGTCAGGTGTGAGGAGGATCATTTTCTTTTGAAAACGTCAAAAGTTTGGCAGTGAAAAAAGATTATAAGGATATTTTTTGTATGTATTATTTCTCAATGCATTCTAACATATTTTGATAGAGTGCATGAGAAAATGGACACCCATGATAACATTAATTTGGTCTTGAGAAAATGGCGTATTGGTGCCGTTCCGCCTCTTGTGGCCACAATGAGTATGACAAAAACACAATCTCCTTCCAAGACTTCTTCCCCCATGGTTTTAGAGATTTAAAACAATTAAGAAACTAAGAATTATTATCCTTGCAAACCCTTTTTTTTTTTACTCTTGCCTCTCAGGGTTTCCATATAAACACTATGTCATCGTGCTTATTTTTTCCATTTGTGTCATTTAATCATATGAAGTAATAGGTGGTGTATTTATCTATACATCATTTCTACTTAATTGTGTTAATGTTGATGATGGTATTGTTTGAAGTTAATTTAAATGACTACATTTGATTTGTGACAGTGCTTTAAAAATAACTACCTGCCATACTGTACGTGTACAACAATTGGATGAAGTTAAGGTACGTAGTGTAAAGTAAATACAATTGTGTGAAGAATGTAGCCTCAACTGCAGGTTCCTTTTCTAAAAACACATTTGAACCGTGTCATGTTTCTCATTAAACCAAAGACCTTTGAATAGGCATGCCACATCTCTCTTCTCAAAGGAGCACATCCTGTGGGGTAACATTTACGAATGTGCCATCAGACCTGAATTAACATTGTTTTCATTTTGTTTTGCTCTCTTAGGATACTAAAGCACTGTAACACAAAATGAATTGTCTTTCTCTTAATGCCTTGGTTATTTTATGTTAAGTATTTGTATTTGAATGATTACACAAGTTGGGTTACGGTTGTATTTTGTCTACTTCTTTGAAATAAACAGAATGAAATAAGATTTTTGAGGATATATGAAGATTGTCGTGATTTGTATCTGTGAATATTAATGACTTTTTAAGATGTGTAACTAATTGTAAGGCCAAATTCAGTGATTATGTGTATCTGCCTTATTTATAGAGCAAAAATAAATATATCAATGAAAGCCTTTTTGGTCTTTTGCTTCAGATTTTGTATTCTGTGATACAGATCTGGTCTACTTTGTATTTACTCCAGATTGATGTAAAGCCCTTTGTAGTGTGTTATAAAGAAAACAATTCATTTGGCAGCATAATGTCCATTGTAACATGTCCTGCAATATTTTATTATATATAGACAGAGAGAGAACACATGTGTCACACACTGACAGATAAATGGAGACATTAAAAAACCTTTTTTAAAGCGGTTTTATATATAATATACAGCTATTACAAATAATCAAATATACATTCCTCATTACGCGCACACTCTGGTCTGTGTGAGCACTGCACCTCCTCTTCTGGATGTGTATGGTTGCCTAGCAACATCAGTTCGCTGGGTTGTCATTGATAGTGCTTGCTACGGTGGTAAGTAACTAGCTTTAAACTGGGGCGTCAACATAAACCAAAATATCAGTCAAATGTTATTCTGTTATATGTTGTATTTTTTTCATTTGTAGCTGACGTTAGCATTCACCTGTTGAACCGCTAGCTGTTGTAACTGTGGGTTAGCGTTACCCTCAACCTCTGCTCCACTCACTGGTGACGTTACCCTAACTAACCTAACATTAACCTTTTTGCAGGGCTAGCAGGTTAACGCTAAGCTAGGTGCTAATATTGGCTTCGAGAGTTTAGTGTTTTCTGCACCACATAAACGTAAAGCGAGTTTGCTACAGTGTTTATGTGACACATATCATGCTGTAGTATAGGTAACGTTACAAAATATCTCTGTTACTTAGTTGTTAAACACTTCAAACTTTAGAGACTAGCATAACAGCTAGTATGCTAACATAACTAACCTTTTGTTCTTCATTACAGGTCCAATGCAGAGCACTAGAGGTGAGGGTGGTGAGGGAGCAGGGGAGGAGGAGGTGAGGCCGGAAGGCTCGAGACAAACTGAAGAGGTGAGCGAGCTGCAGGATGGAGGCGAGGAAGCAGCAGAGGACCGTGGGGCCCCGGTCCCAGCCGCTACACAGGTAGGAATGTATGAATGAGGAATAAACAAATTCATTTTCACTCTCTGTTCCTTCGTCGCCTCCCTTTTCAGACGTGGGGATATTTATTTCATCTTTTTTTCCAAGTGCTAGTTTTAGTTATTTTGTTTTTGGGATTTTGTTAAGAGGTTCAAGCCTAGGATAGCCAAAGTTGCCTACTACATTAGTCCTGTGAGACAGCAAATGCTACATGTACTGTATAGTCTAAGACGTGTACATAGAACCGAATACATGCTTTCTTTATGTGTCCCAGAGTGTCTCACAGAATCAGTCAGGACCAGAGCCTGATGACACGACCCCCCAGCTTCAGCCTGTCCACACTGGGTTGGATGACTTCCCTGCAGCCACGAATTCAGGTCAGTCACACACAGGGTGCACTCTCAACCCATTTAGTCCTCTGACCAAATGACTAGTAAAGGAGGAAATTGTAACAGTCTCCGAACAAATACCATTGTATTTTCTGGCAGCTTTTTTTGGCTGGTAAATAGTTCGAATCTGGTGCCCTGTTTGGGATTTACAGTCAAGCGCAAAGAAACACAGTGTTACACAGCATAGCACAGTTCAATACAATATCATTTATTATCCTAAGCGAACTTAAATTAGCAAGTAAAGCTGGGAAATCAGAACAGACATACAGGAAAAAGTGTAAAACTGCACATTTAAACTGGTTTGCTTAGGATTCCTTTTTATTAAACATTACTACCTTTGAATTGATTCAGATTGGCTACAGGAAATGTTTTCTTTCTAAAGGGACTGTCCATATATGGAGGTGAAAAAACTAAAATGTCCATTTATATTACACATGAAAGAGATCTTTGTTTCAGTGCAAGAAAATGTTGCCCAGTTGCCATTGACACTTCACCCCTCACACCTTAACACATCAGAAGACATGGAGGATCAGGAGCCGCTGCAAGAGGAGGAGGAGGAAGGGGAGGAGGAAGGGGAAGTGGAGGATGAAGAGGAGGAGGAAGAAGAGTTCATCGTTCTTGACTCTGAACATGTCTGTAGCTTCTACTTCAATATATAGACAATTGGTATTTATGAAATGGTGAAAGGTCCCATGTCATGGCCATTTCTACTGATGCTAATTCCATTGTTGAGGTCTACTAGAATAGATTTACATTGTTCAATGTTTCAAACTCACATTGGTTTCTCATACAGCATCTCTGTATAGTATGTGTATTCACTCTCTGTCCTAAACGCCTTGTTGGAGCTCCTGCCCCCCCCCCTCCCTATGAGCCCACTGTGCTCTGATTGGTCAGCTCGCCCACTCTGTTCTGATGAGTCCACCACCGTTACAGCGGAACATCAGTGTTTATGTGTTACAATGGCGTTTGTTAGCAACCAGAAAATGACACCAGTAATGACAAACAGATGAGAATGCTGCGTGGGGTCTGGGTGCCGTGTTGGCGGGACGTTGCGGGGCTCGCTGCTCCGCCCTTTGAGGCTCGAGGAGCGGACAGTGTGAGCTGGATTACTGGTGTCGTTTCCTGGTTGCTGCGTGGGGTCTGCGAGACAGCGAGACACCGCGGAACTCAGCCTGAGCTCATTGTGAGTGTGAGGAGATCCGCGGAGCCGCGGCTGAGAAAAGATAAGGGTGTGTGTGTGTGTGTGTGTGTGTGTGTGTGTGTGTGTGTGTGTGTGTGTGTGTGTGTGTGTGTGTGTGTGTGTGTGTGTGTGTGTGTGTGTGTGTGTGTGTGTGTGTGTGTGTGTGTGTGTGTGTGTGTGTGTGTGTGTGTGTGTGTGTGTGTGTGTGTGTGTGGAGCCGTTACGTCACTATGACCGTTACGTCACTATGACCAGGAAAATGGAAAAAGAAAAATCTCCAACGAGGCGTTCTGGGGCAGCATAGACACGTCTTTTCTGTGTTAGAGTTTTACTCGCTACAGGGTGTACTTTGAGGGTTTGTGACTTTGCAGACCGTTTACATGCATAAAAAGCTACATAACACACAAGGGGATGGGTAATAACCGTAAAAGCATGACATGGGACCTTTAACTTTGTGATTCTGGTCCGTAAGAAAGATCTCTGAGTCTAGTAAGTCAAGCAGTTGCATTTGAAACATTTTAAGTTGAGCTGCTGCTTTGGTGTTCGTAAAGATAATGCCAGATATGCTTCCCTCTGATATGTTATTAATGCCATGTTTGTTGTGTTGGCAGCCGCTGGTCAGAAGGCAACAAGTTGCTCTGAACAGACAGCTCAGTAATCAGCTGGAGAGGATCGACCTGGGACTGAGGGAGAAGGTCAGCTATTTCAACATTAAACATTTTGTACCTCTTTACTCTTTTATTTGTCCTTAGCCCCCTCAGCTTTGCCCCAATTACACTCACATACATAGGTATAGGAACAAAGAAACATGTAACACACATTCAGGTTAAGTTTCCCTTTCAAATGCACACCTGTAGGGTCTCAATGTGTCCAGGAGATGGCGCTGTTGATCTTTATCTTTTTCAGAATCTGAATTAGAAATCCTTTATTTGTCCAACATCAGGAACAGCCACAACAGCAAACCCACAGTTCAGATAAAGGACAATTATAAAAGGAGTAGACTTACATATTAAACAAAGAGGCATGCTGACATTAATACAAAGTGCACCACGGTAAAAAATAAGTAGCAGCATTTAAAAATATTAAGTGAACATATAAAGGTACTGAAAACGCAGCCAGTAATAAACATTAGTAGATTCTAAAGAAACAATATGTGTATTTCACATAACAGCGAGAAATGAAAGATATGTCTTCTGATGTTTGTTCCAAGATACATTACATACATTTTTAAAAACCAGCCTTTAAAGGGTTGCAATAATTAAAAAAAGAACCTAAGTCTATTCCTGAAGCAATATATCTGTGACAAAGAGTGTTTGCATGCGCAAAGAACCGGTCTGACATCTTGATGATACGTTTTCTGATTCCTGACTGCTCCTCTTCTCCGCAGCTGGCAAATGAGAAGGAAGATGATAAGCACCTTAAGGAGTTGGGAGTTGGGATGTACGGGGTGCAGGAGCAGCTGGCACGGCTGCAGACCAGGCTGGATGACCGTCAGCACACCAAGGCCGAGGCGGAGGCCAAACGTCAGCAGGCCAGGGATCAGCTGGAGGAGATCAAGAGACAGTATTCCAATATCACCGGCCAAGACAGAAAGGACAAAGCCAACGGTGAGCCCGGTGTTGCATGGTGTTGATCCAGGATCTTTTTAACTGTGTTGAACTATTACATCCATTACTCCCCTGTAAATCCATGTTGATTGTCATGTTTGACACCATGTTTTAATATCAAAATATATATTCTTATTGTTAGGCCTTTCTTTTCTGAAAATGTTGAACTATGTTTCTTCATTCAGAAAATACACTGTAGCCTTTCAAATCTGAATGAAAACATCAGAATACTTGATTTATTCATAGGGTTTTGTTCAAGTTGCTCCATCTTAGATTAAAAGATACACAAATAGAATACAAATATTTATATATTCAAAGACATGAAAATAAGATTGTTCAACAAAAAATATAAAGATATTTATATAAACATGAAAAGTTAAAGGTCCCATGTCATGGCCACTTCTACTAATCATATTTCCATTGTTGAGGTATACTAGAATAGATTTATATTGTGCAATTTTCCAAACTCACATTGGTTTCTCATACAGCATCTCTGTATAGGATGTGTATTCACCAGGTATTCACTCTCTGTCCTAAACGGCTTGTTGGAGCTCCTGCCCCCCCCTCCCTGTGAGCCCAGTGTGCTCTGATTGGTCGGGACGTTGCGAGGCTCGCTGCAGCGAGGAGCGGACAGGTATCCGGGTCGGCGATACAGAGAGACACAGCGAAACTCATCCTGAGCACACACAAACACTCACAGCCGAAGTAAAAACAATAAGTGTGGCTTGATATTGAGTAAGAATAAGGGGTACCACTTTACAATAAGACTACCCTTATAAAGGGTTTACGAATAGTTTGTAATTCATTTATTAATTAGGTTGTGAAAACTTTATAAATCATTAATAAGCTTTTATAAGACATGAGATAAACAGGGCAACTGTGACCGGTTGCTTGCCAAATAGTGAGCCCACATTTATCTGTACTGCTAAGCCTTATATTGGCTACCTAGCTTACTTCGTCTTCTTCATCAGCCAGCATCCTTGGTATCTGTTGTTCACTGAGTTGATTCTCGCTGAGTAGCCAATATAAGGCTTAGTCATCTTGCCAAATAGTGAGCCTGTGTTGATGTATGAAAACTATGTTAGAACTGGTATTTATAAACCAGTTCTAACATAGTTAATGATTAATAAAGTGTTTACAACCTAATTCATAACCTAATTATAAACCCTTTATGAATCCTTTATAAGGGTAGTCTTATTGTAAAGTGGTAACGAAAAAGGTTTACAGTATAACGCTGTGAGAATGGGTCTGCGGAGAGCATTTCTCCGCGATCCCAACTCGTCTATTACCAGCGTTCAGGGAGCTCTATGCAAGTCAATGGGACTCCCTGTTAGTTAGCCAAGGGATTCTGGTGTGTGAGGTGCTCCGCGGATTGGTCCATTTGGGCCAATCCGGTCATTTGTTGTTGATTTGGGTATTCACACGTCACAGAACCCAGGAAGAAAACAATGGAAAATGAGAAATCTCCAACGAGGTGTTTTGGGGCAGCATAGACAGGTCTTTTCTGTGTCACGCAGCGTCCACACGGCGGCATGCGTTGAAGCTTGCCGGTGGGCGTGTCTGAAACTCGACCAACAACCAATCACATGAATCTCCCGTCCCGGACACACAAGCACGCGGTTTGATTGGCCAGAGCTTGTACTGGCATATGATTTGATTGGCTGACGCTTCCGTCGAAGCTTCAAAAGTTGAACATTGCTCAACTTTTGAAGCGAGCAACGCGAGCAAAGCGGAGCAACGCGAGCAAAGCGAAGCGACGCTCCCACAATGCAGTTCGGCAAAGCGTGACGTCACCCCATTCAAAGTGAATGGGCAGAAGCGTTGAAGCTTCAACGCACGCCGCCGTGTGGACGGGCCGTTAGAGTTTTACTCGCTACAGGGTGTACTTTGAGGGTTTGTGACTCTGCAGACCGTTTACATGCATAGAAACCTTCATAACACACAAGGGGACGGGTAATAACCGGAAAAGCATGACATGGGACCTTTAATGATAGATGTCCAAAAAAAGATACAATTAAAAAAATGTACCGGTACATAAGAAGTGAAATTTGTAAATTGTGACGTATTAATATAAATAAGATAATAATTCTTCTGAATAACACAGTATAAACTGCAGGTCAGCCTTGAAAAAGAGATATTTTGATCTCAAGGGGCTTTCACTTGGTTAAATAAAGGCTACAAACAATAAAAGGGTTTGGCTGCTGACAGGGAAGTCCAGTGCCAGTCTATTGACTGAGCTTGCCTGAGGGTGGGGTTAATCAGTCTGATGCTGCAGGCAGGAATGAGTTCCTGTAGCGCTCTGTGGTGCATCTTGGTGAAGTAAGCTGAAGCTACTCCTGTGTCTGACTAGCATGTTATTACATACCTCAAATACTCAGCAACACACATTTGTGTGAGCAGCCATGTCTACGAAGTAAAGACACACCCAAGAGCATAGAGTTTGAGACTATTGTAACTTCACTTTCGTTGCTTATGATGACTACATTATCTCTAAGAAGTGAAACAGCTGTCTGCCTTCTCTTGTATATAATGGAACAAGATTATACTTATATGCTTGTTTATCTCAAAGGGTCAAAGAATAAAGATTAGAATCACTCAAAAGCAACGTCTCTTCTTCTGCAGAAATCATGAAACGGTAACTTAAGATAATCCACAGAACATGTTGTGAGCAGTTTCAGGAACTATTTTCTTTCTATTTTTGTATCACAGGGCAGAATGAAGCGTGCATCAACTCATGAACGAGCTGCAGGTGGAGGCCATTAATGTGTATATCTCGTGATGTTAAAAGCCTCACCTCCATGAGTAGAGGTACACTTTCTATTGCACTGTGAGAGGAAAACAAACAGATAGAAAACTGTTCCTCCATGAAACTGCCCTCAAAGATCTGTGGATTCTTTTGAGTAACCAAGATTTCATGGCTCTTCAAGCAATACAAACTGAGTGCCGTATCATGTTCTATTATATGAAAAAGATGGTAACTTATATACTTGGCAACACACACCAAAAAATGATCAAGATTGATAAATATTAAAATAGATAACAGAATTTCTTTTTATTTCTGATTGCGAGGTGAACTGTCCCTTTAAGGCATTGTGTTAAATTGACTCTGACTCTAAATTGACTGTGTGTCTTCTCCATAGCGTCCCAGTTACAGGCGGAGATAGACAACCTCATGCAGCATCTGGTCTTCACACAAGGAGTCAGTGAAGATCTGAGCTCCAATGTCAAAGCCCTGAAGAACGCCAGACGCAAAGCAGGAGCTGAGAAGAACCAGGCCGAAGAGCAGAAGTTCCAGCAGGTGGGCAGTCTGCTGCAGATCTCTCAAAGTGTTGACTGTCATATACATTGTCATTGGTGAATATACTGTTATTGATAAACAATACTCCTGTGTCATCAGGATTTGTATGTGGAGCGTCTTACAAAGGACAAGGAGAGGCAGACGGAGCAGATAGCCATGTATGAAGCCCAGGCCAAAGCTCAGGCAGAGGAGACGCATGCAGCCAAAGAGGCTCTCTCTGAGGTAACTATGGCATGATGGCACAACACAGTATGTACCTGTATGTTAAAGGGGTCTTTAAGCAAGCACTGTCATTTAGTGCATCTGTTAATACCACAAACATTTCCAATTCATTGGCCGGAATTCATGAAGATTAAAGCTGCATCAAATACATGTATGTCTGCTCCCTTGGGGGCAGGGGTACTAGCTCGAAAGAAAAGAAATGATCACATTATAAAGATGTTATAAGCAAACACTTGGTTAATTACACATACAGTGGGAAACATTTTCACATAATAATATTCTTAATATTGTCAAAGAACTACAGTAATGATAACAATAACAGCAAATCAAACAATATTAAAGCAACACAGAAAGAAAGAGTCAACAAGAAGGAGAGTGCATGAAAATAAATAAGAATCTTTTTTGTGTGCATATTTTCATATTTTTATGTTGGTGCAGTACACAGCATGTTTATAAGAATATACACCAGATCAGTCTTGACACATGTCCACTCCCAATGCTCTGTGTGCAGGCTGAGATGGAAATGGAGTCTCTGGTGTTGGCGCGGAACCAGCTGCTGCAGCAGTGGAGCGGCAGCCTGGTGGGCATGAGGAGACGAGACGAGGCCTTCAGCGCCATGCAGGACGCTGTGCGGTGAGGAGACTGAATATCAATAAGCCACTGAGCCCCTTCAAATGTGCTAATGCCTTCGAAACGGACATGTGACTAATGTCCCAGCAGGAGACATACGCTTCATGAGCAGCACCTTTGGGTGGCGCCGCTCTGCAGTGATAGACTGTTGGTAGGGCACACAACAATAACTTGAGATGAAATCGTTGTGCCTCACTTTCTCATGTTTGCCATATTAGATATGCATGCGTTCTTTCTGGTTTGCTCCCAGAAAAAATAAAATGCTTCAAAACTAATGTTAATAATCTGGCTGAAGCCCTCTCATGAAAAAACAGCTGTGGCTTTTTGTGAATTGATTGGCATTAAAAGGGTTAACATTCTGAACATTTATCAATGTGTGGTAGTTCGGATAAGGACTGAGGTTGGTTCAATTGAATACACTGAGAGGAGAATATCATATGAAATGTTATTTTAATTTGTTGTTGTTTTTTGACTAGGCATCTATTCTTTCCTAACTGCTGCTCTTGTTTCCCTCAGCACCGTCGAGCACCAGGTGATCTTGCTGGACAGAGAGATTGAAGGCTACAAGAGATCCACCAATGAAGAGCAGGAGGAGAATGAGAAGCTAACTATGCAGCTGAACTGGTCCCATATGGACGGGGCCACCTCCAGAAAGCTGATCATTCAGAAGCAGGCCCAGGGAGAGGCTCTGCAGGCGCACTACAGCTCCTGCCTGCGCACTCTGAGGGAGACGGAGCGCACCCTCGCCAGGCTCTCTAAGGTAGCACGAGGTTTCTAAAGCTCTGCCCCACAGTGACCTCCTATAGAGTGGGGCAGGATGCTTGAACCCGGAAATGAACTAGTCTGACCACGTCTCCTGTACTTAAGTAAAGTTCTTAAGTAAATGTACTTAGGTACTCTACGATGTAAAGTTGACATCACTATATCAAACATTAGCCACCTTTAGCTTAGCGGTGGTGATGCGCAGCCATGGGACTGTGATGTCATTTGTTTCTAGCTTAATGTTAGCATTTCAATTCTGTCCATTGCATTTACATTTCAACATTTATAAACGAGCTGTTGATATGTGGAGATGATCCTGTTGAACAAAAGATGAAAGTATAATAAATGTCTGTTTATCACAGAGCTTATTTTCTCATTGCTTCTTTTCGAGGGAGCCCTTTCTATGCTTATTTCTGTGTCGGCCTACACAAATCCCTCATCACCGCAACGCTCTTATTCTTATTACCCTTTCAAAACATTTCACTCTTTTTTCTGTTTCCTTGCCCTAGGAAACAAGCGCCCACCACGCTGAAGTGATCGATCAGAGGAGGCAGTTGCAGAAAGAGAGTGCTGTGCGTCTGGAGATTGAGGACAAGATCATGACCCACATCCAGCAGAAGCTCACCCACAACAAGGCTGCTAAGTACTCCCAACGGCTCACCAGCAGGATAGCCACGCTCAAGAGGGAGAAGGTAACGTTTAGCAAGAGGAAAAAGGGCACATAATCTCTCCACCTTCCCATTGAGACATTTGGGGCTTTTTCATTGAAATGTTTTTAAATCATGTGTCTTTACTTGTGCACATCACAGGAATGTTGGCAAGGATGACCTCAGCCCCTATATACGTCTGTCATACGCTATGTAGCCAAAACACAAACAGTCAGACCCTTATGGATATAAATGTCCCAACTGAAACACATTAAAACCACCGTTTTTGATCCCACGGCCTTTATAGCATACACATCATGCATTCTAATACATTCCATTCAGAACCCTGGCTTTACAATTGTAACTTTGACTATTTTCCAACAGATTCAGACCATTTGAATGGTTGCCATGTGTGGAAAGCATCTGCTATTTTCCTGTTTTTTGCAATATTTCTTATATATTATGTGTTTGATGCAAGATCAATATTGTTAATAATCATTGTCATATCCCAGTTAGTTTACAAATAATTGTTTTGTTGTTTCTTTATAACTAAAGTGTCATTGTGTACTCAAAAAACTGGCATTTAAAGGGTTCAAATTCTGAAAATGAAATGGAATATTTAAGGACTGAGGATGGTTAGGAGATGTAACTCATTATAAGTGCGGCACAATATGTACAGTATCATTTGAGATATTTAGTTTCAAACTAGGCCTGTGTTATTAATAGGAGTACTCCAGCAATGTATTAATACACTTGGGGAACTATAGTAATGTTAACGAGTATGCCAAAAAGTATAATGTACTGAAGAAATAACGTTACCAAAACAGCATATCAACCACATAGGTATAAAGATATATCATTTATGACATGTTGTGCTACTCATCTTCTCGTCCTCTCCTTTAGAGCTTTCGGTTGTGGCAGCTGGAGAATGATGTAGTGGCGGTGGGACAGGAGATCAGCAAGGCCAGCCAACATCTGGAGAGCCTGGGCCTCACCACGGAGGCTTTAGACGAGAAGATCGCTAGGTCCAACAAGTTACTGACGAGCATCCAGGCTAAGATGTCCTCCTTTGTGACACTCATCGCGCAAAAGCAGGCCAGCATCGCCACATGCAACAAAAAGATCTATCAAATTGCAGCCAAAACTGGGGTGAGAGTGAGACATTTTAAGGGTCTTTCTTTTCTTCCGAGAAACAATTAAAAAATATCAGGTCTAAAATCACATGCTGCCTTTGTGATTTATGTGCCTCCTTTCCTAGCATGAAGACCTGAGTCCTCTGCAAATCAAGGTAGAGGCAATAAGGGCTCAGATCGAGGAGCTGGCGGTGAGAATCAAGAGTGACCAGCAGATCTGGATGATGCGTCAGGGGACTCTGGTGGCAATGACCCACGAGATAGAAGCCAACAGCAAGGAGATGCTGAAACTGCAGACAGAATACACTGCCATGCAGCAGAAGAAAATACGCCTGGAGGGTACGTAACATAGTTGCAAAAACGAATGTAAAAGTAATATATGGAAGTCTATTTCCAACAGTGTACTGAAAAACTAATTCCTGGTTATTTGAATGAGAAATGTCCTCAAAAAACAAGTTAGTATCTCAAAATAATGACTTAATATCTCAAAATAATGAGAAACATTCTTAAAAAAACGGACTTCTCAAGAAAATAACATACTTTCTCTAAAAGAAAGACAAAATACATGAAATCATTGGGAAACATACACAATATAATCACTAACCCTAACCCTAACAAATACAAAAGTCATTACAAGTCTTTACAAGTCTAAGAATCAAACTACGTATCTATGATGCTTATTGTATTTAACAACCTCAAACTGACATCTCCAAATCTATTTTGATAGTAATTCAAATCGTACAGCATGTGCTTAAGCATTTCTGTGGTAGATAAGCTGCTTTGAAACCAACTCTAACCCTACCAGGTCAGATTGAAGCGGAGCACCATGAGGAGACGGAGCTGGAGAAGAATGCCAAGATGCTGAGAGGAGACCTGCTGAAGCTCAACACCCTGCTGAGCAAGAACTCACAGCTGAGCCAGGCGCTGGAGCAGGAGAACGCTCTGAGGGAGACAGACTTCCTGCACAGACTTAAGGCACATGGCATGAGTGTTTATTTTGTTATTTTCTGTCTGCCATTTCAATCATAACTGATTCATAAACGTTATATATAATGTGTTCAGGAGGCAGAGCGGGAGTCTATCCAGATGCAGATCAAACACGAAAGGATCCAGGAGGAGAAGGAGAGAATCCTAAACAGTGTGGTGGAGGCTAAGTCAGTCGCATATTCACTTTGTGCTCATATCAGTTGAAATGTCTATGTCTGTATGGCTGCATGTGTTCAGATTGCATTAAGAAATTCATTTGGAAGAAAACATGAATGCTTGTAGTCCTACTAATAACATGAGGAAGTGGTGCACTTCAGAATTAGTATAACAACAACAAACATGACTAAACAAACCTGTTTCACAGATTTGCGATTTTCTTTTAAACAGGAGAGATTAAGATCAGATAAAGAAAATGGTTCACCCGGAATTTCTTTATTCTTTTAGAGCTTATTTTGTTAAATAGTACCATTATATCAAATGTGATGAAATAATTCAGTTATTGGCAGCTCATTCCAGATTTGTAATTTTCACAGCTCATAAGACACATTTCATGTAACAGCTTGCATATGTTCTATTTTCGGTGTCCATGTGTTTTGTGTATGTGGCAGGCGACAGATAATGCTGTGGGAGAAGAAGATCCAGCTTGTGAAAGAGACCCGTTCAGCTGTGGACTCGGAGGTGGGCCAGGGAGACATCCAGATAATGAAGGCCGAGGTACACCGTATGGAGGTAAACACAGCACACATTATATGATTGTACATAGAGACAGTAAACAGCACTGTTATTGAGTCTTTATCTGCTGTTTGCCTTTATATGAGCCAACATGTACTCTATGTACATTAAAGGGGGCCTATCATGCTCATCTTCAGGTTCATATTAGTATTTAGTGCCTCTACTGGGACATGTCTCCATGCTTTAATGTTCAAAATGCTCTTTATTTTTCTCATACTGCCTGTGCTGCAGCACCTCTTTTCACCCTCTGTCTGAAACCAGAGCCCAGTCTGGCTAGCTGGCTGGCTCTTTTGTGATTGGTCAACGGCTAAAAGATTTCCTGCTGGTCTAGTGCTGCCTCTTTCAGTTAGTTTATGTTGATGTATGACTTTCGTTTTTAAAAAAGTGCATTATTTCATTATTTTCAATTAGTTCATAAACACTGTTTTGAAACTTCTTCAACTTTGGTATAACATTGTTAACAGGAAAAACAACAGCCCAATATTTTTTGCATACATACACATCATCATCATTTATGTCATTTGTATTGTCTACAGTGTAAAACTTGGATGCAACATAACCTCCTCAAACTGAACAGCAACAAAACAGAACTCCTCCTAATCGGCTCCAAATCCACCCTCAGCAAGGTCACTGATGGCGCATTTCCACTGCAGGGCCTCGCACGGCTTAGTACGGTATAGGTAGGCCAGGCTCACTTTATGCTGCGTTTCCATTACAGTTTAGTAACTGGGGTAGTAACTATAGTAACGCAGTGTAGGTGGAGCCGTGACGTCAGCTTCAATGCGAACCACAAAATCAACATCAGCCGTTAGCTGTGAGCCCTCAGAGCTCACAGCTCCTCATATCTGTTCAGAAACTAGACAAAAGTTAAACAAGTACACACCACAGACTGCCTGTGTCATGGTGAATACAGTCGCTGCTTTATTTATGTCTGTATAGGCCGTTGTTGTGAGTGTGGACGGTCGGAGCTTAGCTTAGCCAATCCATTCAGAAAACACGCATTTTAAAAGGTTTTTCGCCTGCCGTCTGTCTGCAGACTTGACAAAGCATTAATTCATGGTTTTTACTAACCGGTATCAGTATGTTGTTACTTCGGCATCATTTTTGAAACGTGTATTACAATTAAATCACGGTCAAATATGTTCATTGTGTTATAGTTGTAGCCACTCACGTCACTAGTTTAGCATATTCAGCCCGGTTGTTGGCCCGGAAAGAACCACGATTTTGGAGGGCCAGAAAAACGGTGAAAAGGTACCCGTTAGCCTGAACTACCCCTAGTGGAAACGCAACAAAAAACGGGCCGGGTTTGGCACGGCACGCTTAAACCGTGCTACGCGCTGCAGTGGAAATGCGCCATCACATAACACTCACCATCTATGGCACCATTGTTTCCCCCCTCCAATCAGGCACGCAACCTTGGCGTAATCTTTGACCCCACCCTCTCCCTCGAACCTCACATCCGCCAAACAGTCAAAACCTCATTTTTCCACCTCCGCAATATTGCAAAAATCCGACCCTCTCTCACCCGCCCCGCATCCGAACGACTAATCCATGCCTACTGCAACTCACTTCTTTACGGCATCAGCACTACATCCCTCAATAGACTCCAACGGGTTCAAAATGCAGCTGCACGACTCCTCACCCATACCAAATCATGGCATCACATGACCCCAGTACTCAAAGACCTTCACTGGCTTCCTGTCTCCCATCGCATCAACTACAAAATTCTGGTCCTCACCTACAAAGCACTCCACCATCTGGCCCCCCCTTATCTCACAAACCTTCTCACCCCCTATCAACCCCCACGGTCCCTCAGATCCACCGCAGCCGGACTCCTGTCCATTCCCACATCCACACTCTGCAGCTTTGGGGACAGAGCCTTCTCAGTGGCAGCTCCTAGGCTCTGGAACTCTGGAATGCCCTCCCCCAAGATCTTCGTGACCCTCACAGTCTTTCAGTCCCGCCTCAAAACACATGTCTTCAACTCTGTCTACCCATAAGCCCCCCCCCCCCCCCCCCCCCCCCCCCCTCTCAATCAACTTCCTCTTGACTGCCTTTTCTGTTTATTTTATTTATTTGTTTGCCTGTCCTTGTTTGTCTACCCTCCCACATATTGTAAAGCGTCTTTGAGTTGTAGAAAAGCGCTATATAAATATAATGTATTATTATTATTATTATTATTATTACAGTGTAATATTGTTGTGTATTTTAATATTTACACATTACATCTGTCCTGGGAGATCCCTCCTCTGTTGCTCTACTCAAGGTTTCTTCAACATTTTCCCCATTATTGTGGGGTCTCTTGGGATAGTTTTTCTTTGTGCGCTTCAAAGATTTAAGAAAAGATGGTGTCGCATTCTTTACAAACTGTAAACCCCCTGAGACAAATGTGTCATTTGTTATATTTGGCTATATAAATAAAATGCCATTGATTGAATCACTTCTTGTGCAGGTGCGACTGAACCACCAGTTGAAGCAGCAGGAGCGGCTGCTGAAGGAGAGCGAGGCGACAGTGGAGAGGAGGGAGGTCATCGTCCTGCGCAGGGAGGCCATGTTCCACACCTCAAAAAAAATTACGACCAAGGGCGAGGTGAACCGCGTCACACAGGGCCTGCAGCGCAAGACCCACGACACACACAAGGTAGGCCATGTGTTAGCTCTCATACCTGCACATGTGCCTGAATCATGCTGCACAGTAACCTTACACGCAGTGTGTTTGTCTCAGCGTGTGGTGGAGTATGAGCAGGGGATCAAGGAGCTACAGGAGGGCCAGGTGAGGCTGAGCGAGCGGCTGGCGCAGCAGAAGCAGAAGCTGTCAGAACTCTGCGGCACCAGCTACGTCCTGGACCCCGAATTCGAAAATCTGCAGGACACCAAAGAGAGGGTAAGGAGCTCATAATGTCTACTGCATTACAACCATAGACTGTATGATTACCAGCAGGGGAAGGTGACTAAGTACATTTACTCAAGTACTGTACCATAGTACTGTTTTTTGGTACCACTTTACAATAAGACTACCCTTATAAAGGGTTTACGAATAGTTTGTAATTCATTTATTAATTAGGTTGTGAACACTTTATAAGTCATTAATAAGCTTTTATAAGACATGAGATAAACAAGGCGACTGTGACCGGTTGCTTGCCAAATAGTGAGCCCACATTTATCTGTACTGCTAAGCCTTATATTGGCTACTTAGCTTACTTCATCTTCTTCATCAGCCAGCATCCAGAATCCATTATAAGGGTAGTCTTATTGTAAAGTGGTACCGTTTTTTCATACTTTGAGTATATTGAGTATTTCCATTCTATGCTACTTTAGGTAGGAAATATTGTTCTTTTTACTCAACTACATGTATTTCACACTCTAGTTACTAGCTTCTTTTTTACACAAGAAAACATGTTATGCTTATATGATGAGATGCAATATTGTACTCCTAATATACCCATAAAGTAAAAAACTGGCTCAACACTGATAACATTGATATGCTTTTACATGTATTAATAAGTGTTAAAGACAGAATAATATAATATTCTATGATAAAATAATGCTTTAATGGAGACATATTTGAATAAAGGGTACATTTACTGTTGATACTTTGAGTATATTTAGCTGATTATACTTTGGTTCTTCTACTTAGGTTTTTTTGTATTCATGACTTTAACTTGTAATGAGTATTTTTAGAGCAAAGTATTTCTCATTTTACTTGAGTTAAAGGTGGGGTATGTAATTTATTTCAGAAACACTTTTTGTTATATTCCATGGAATGCTCTTAACATCCCGATAACAACCATCTGTGCACAAACTTATCTCGTGCCCTCATTGGTCATGTGCGCGTTCGTGTGTGTTGGAGGAGGGGCTCTGTTAGGAAGTCTGAAGGAAGTGGCAGATTTTTTCCGGTTGTGTATTTTCAAATTCTAGCGCACTCGAGCTGGTTTCTCCAAAATTACCTACCCTACCTTTAAGGTTCTGAGTACTTCTTCCACCACTGATGATTACAACACAGTAAATGTAGAGTTTAGATTTTTTTTTAAAGTTCGGTGGTATGAGGCCCTTATCCCCAGTGTATTGCCTACAGTATATGGCAGTTGGAATGCCCCCACTTTGTTTAGACAGAAAAGTATACCAGCACGTATTTGAAGCTATTTACTGCTTTGGACAGGAGCAGCAGTAAAACCAATGTATCCACAATAAGTTAAAGTAGTGCTTTATTTCGAATCATTTCACTGTTTTACCTTAGCATCAGTCACCCTTTCTGACCAGGAACTGAAGCTGCCATATATGCTCCCTTCAAAGTCACCTGACTCCATTGACAAAAACAGTAACTTGACCTTGCAGAACACACGGGTTGGTGGTAGTTTGATTTGCTTGACGGTGATATTGTGTGACTTTGGTGAATGTGTGCTAACCCTTTAAAACACCAAAATCACACAAAAACACAAACAAGCAATCCAATCAGAGCAGCAAGAGACCAGCAACTTCCGTGTTCTGCAAGGTCAAATACACATTTTCTTCAAAATATTGCATACACATGGTCCTCCTAATACAAATCTATAGTTGAAGCTACAGAAGTAATTCATACTTGCTGGTGTCAATCAAGACTCCATTCAGAACTGATGTATGCACCATCAATCTGCTGCCGCTGATGGTTGAATAACATGAATGACGGTGTGGTGAAAGCATTTTTCTGGGTCCTATAGTCAAGTCTGTGATATACTGAGTTGAGCAACATAGTTTCCACTCCCGAAAACCATTCCCCCCAACAAGAATACCTCAAATACCTGCTCACAGTTTTTTCACCTTCTCTTGTCAGGGTTGTACATTTTGTCAAGTCATTTTGATGAACCAACGGCAGAGACGCAATGACACTTTTTTAAATAATGTCAAAACAAAAAAAACAAAAATATTAGGAACGAATTGTTGCAAGATAAAAAAAATGTGCCCTAAACATTCTAAATAAATGACCCTTCGTTATGGGGAACATTAATAAATGCAACAATCGCAATGCTGGCTGCTAAGTGTGTCACTCACTGCCTCAAGACATTTGTTAATGTACCAACCATATTATCATGTTATCATTTGTAGTTGAATTGTTGTCTTGTACACCTACCTACTATATATAGTGTTATTATTAAAAAGACCACTTATATTACATACACAGTACACACATATTCCTCCTTATATTTCTCACATTTCTGTTCAATAATACTGCACAGCCCTTTCACTTTCAACTTTTCTAGACTGCCCTTTTTTTTCAGAGAATTTGTCAAATTCTTGTCGTATACATTTTTTTTTATTACATTTTAATACGCTTTTTTAAATAGCTTTTAAAAAAACTTCTATATTTGCTCCCTTAAATTAATTCCTCCTATTGTGTTTAAACCTACTTGTAAATAAACCCGATTCATTCATTCGATATATATATTCTTCAATATATATATTTTTTTTTAATTAACCCATTTTATCTTTATTATCCATTAACTTATATCTTTATTGACACTTTTTTTGTTCATTTCATTCATTGTCTTTCATAATCGTAATTATGCTTTCGCAAAACATGTTAAATCTCATTCCAATAAAGCTTATTTTGAAATTGAATAGTGAATTGAAAGCACCCAGCATAACCACTCATTCTTCATCGTTCCGTCCCCTAGAACCTGGCCCACCTGGTGTCTCTGCAGAGCCGCATGAAGAAACTGCAGGGGGTGTGTGAGGGCAGCTACCGAGCCTCGGCCACCAGCGAGTCGGTGGCAGCCGCTCTGCAGAGCCAGATGGAGCGTGTGCGCGCCGCCGGCATCATCCTGCAGCGCGTGTGTGAGGAGTTCCCCCAGCACCAGGGGGCGCTCCGCAGGCTGGCGCTAGCACTGGCAGCTCGCACACAAACAGCTCGCACACAGGTCAGAGTGCAGGAGATGTCCTGAGAGTGAGGGGAGGAGAACACATGACCGTGAGTACAGGAGAGGAAGTGCAGAGGATGGAGAGGGAGTAAGACATGAGAGGGAAAGATTAGAGAAGTGACACTCTGAGAAGAACAACAGGTCATTTGTTTTATGCTTTGAATTAAGTACTGATTGTTAAACAATGTAATAAAATAAAGAATTATCAAACAGTTATACAAATAGCAAAATTCTTTATAATGTTTGCCTTTTTCAATCCAGTTGCGTTTCTCAGTCTAAAAACAATAAGAGAAAGAAGAACATTTGGTAGCTTTGTGGGGCGGATGAGAGGAAAATGGTCCTCCACCAATCGGAGGGTCAGTGGTTTGATCCCTAGTCCCTGCGACCAACATGTCAAATGGTCCTTGAGCAAGATACAGATTGCTCCTGTAGGCATTTTCCAACGGTGTAGAGACGGTTTGTAAGTCGCTTTGCATAAAAACCTTATGCAATGTAAAGCTGACTTCACAAAGCCGCCCAAACGTTTGCTTAGCTTGTTTCTCTGACGACCTATAACATTTTTAAACAAGTTAAAATATGTAGTTATAAACAACCGGCATCTATTGTTTTAAAATTAATGTTTAAACTCGTTCCGGCACAAAGCTGAGAAGGCTAAAGTGGATATGATGCCATTACGGGCGACCAGGTTAAATGATTATATATTTGCCTTATCTATATAGTTTTTCAAAGTAAAATGTATATATAATTATCTAACTAATCATATTACCAACACAAAAAAAAGAACTGTCACTGTATAGTCACACATTTTAATGCAAAAAAAAAAGAAGGTTTCTAATGATGTTGTCCCAACTATTAATGCAGCAATGACAAAAATAAATGTCATTCATAAACCATTCAGTAGAATCATGTGTTGAGGTCATCCGCATTTTAGTTGTTCAGCTACTGAAAGAAAGGCAGACACACTAAGATACACTTTTAAAGTCTTTGCTGGTGCCTCAAAGAGGAGCAGGGGGGAGAGGAAGGAGACAGGTGAGGCTGGTTCAGGAGCCCAGACACACTCGCAACTATAAATGAACCGAAAATAAATAAACAAGTTTCAATGTTTTTTAATATTGGATATGGTATTTTATTGGTTATGGCCATGTTCTTATGTTTCATATGGGTGTTTCCATAGATCTAGTCTCTTTATTTTCCCCTCAAAGTGCACCAGATTGATGCATTTAACTCCAACATTAAAAAAAATATCTTACCGGGGGAGCATGCCCCCGGACCACCCTAGAGGATTTGAGGTCCACCCCCACTGAAAATATGTTCACATGAATAGGTTCCTAAATAGATTTGCACATTTTTTTTAAATAGTAACCCCTGTCCATATGTTTATTTTTGGGTAGTAGATTTAAACTATAGGGCTATCACTATGGGCAGCAACACTGTAAATATTGACAAATAAATCCAGCAAAATGGCACAAAAGAAAACTGGTAGTGGCCTGGCTGAGTGTATAATGTTTGAGTGTGTGCGTGCGTGCGCTGTTGTTTTGCATCAATCTTGATACAGGGTACTTATTATATGTAATAGTTTGGATTCCTAAAGCTTTTAGTCTACTTTCATCATTCAAGGGTGGTTTTCACTATAAGTCATGGTTTTTTTTGGACGGACACTATCATTTACATTTTTTTACTATGTTCAATCTGAATTTGCTTTAAAATAAAAAAAATTCTATATTAATTCTGACTTCTCTACATCCAACTCACAGGTGTATCATTGCTTTGAGAAAAAATATTATTCATTTACCCCTTTTAGAAGTAAAGATATAGTCATTTGTTCTGGGAATGTCATTTTCGAGCCTGAGACCTGAAAAACAGGCTATGGGGTTAACAGGATTACGACCCAGTTAATCAACATTAACTGTTCACACCAAGTACTTTTCCCACAATAGTACATGAGAACTTTAGTTCATGAGAACTCTTTTAGTTCTGATGAACTAAAGCAGATTGCGTTCACACCAAAATGAGTTCCTGGGGGTGGATTAGGCAAATGAACCGCTGACGTCACTTCTTCTTCTTCTGCTTTGGGTTTACTGGCAGGCCGCAAACAACTTCACGGTGAGTACAGTAGGTGGCGGTATGCACCTTAAAGTTGCAATCCGCCAAAAAACCGAGAGAAAAAGAAGAAGGAAAAACCTCCCGCGTATACTGCCGCGCCCACTTGCTGTATGAGGCGTCTGTTTACCTTCCGACCTCAGACATGAGCTTCGTCTTGAGTTATTTAAGCAAACACAAATACAGATCGTCGACCAGTCAAATGCAATAGCAATGCTGATTCGGAAGCGAAGGCGGTTAAGAAGGATTGACAAAAGGATTGGACGACGACATGCACGCGCTACGCTACGTATGAAATGAATAAACTGTGCCAGGTGTGTCGTATGCACACTAAATAGGCTCAGCAGCTAACACACCTTTATTATATATCCTCCTGAGAGCAACTGCATCCGTCTGCCATGAACCCTACAGAAACCTACGTGTTAGTTGTGGCCCATAGTGGCCTCCATTTGTGTCGTGTAAAATGGGGGAAATCAAAAGTTAGCAAATCCCCATGTCATGTTCATAAAAACATTTAGTTTTAGGTCAAATACTTATTACACTGCTCTGAAACTCACTACACTAACTCCTAAGATGTTCCCTTACTATAATTAATAAAAAATATTGAACTCACAACACTGGTAATAACAAACTTAACCATTTCTCTTTCTATAAATACATAGTGCTTGTGTTGGACGCCATTTTGAAATACAATGAAATTATCTTTTTGAAAGCCACAATAAATAAAGCTTCGCCAGTTTATTACCGATGAAACATGATGGTATCAGAATAATCACTTACATGTGATGTATAGGATGCTACACAGGTCACTGTAAAGATAAAATGTCAGAGGAGAAATAAGCAAGCTTAGTTACATGAAATGTAATGAAAAATATAAGATACAGGCTCCGTTTAATCGCCATGTAGGTTCTCTTTTATTGCACACTCAAGACAATATCAATAACAGCATCACGCTGTCCCAGGTGTGTCGTATGCATGTAAATAGAAGTTAACATTTTCAATATCAAATAAAGTGTCAGTAGTATCAAAACATATATATATATATATAATAACAATATAATAACAATAGGTAGGCTCAGCAGACACACCTTAGTGCAAAGTGAAGTGTCAGTATTAATAACAGTGGCATATATATATATATATATAATCACAATAATACAAAATTAACTGTCCCAGGTGTAGGCAATTTGGGGTGAAGTGTCTTGCCCAGGGACACAACGACATGCTGACTGCAGTGGGGTTTGAACCTGTGCTCCCCTGATCCGAACACCAACGCACCAGACCACTGCACCACACGCCTCCCAACAAGTCATTGTACAGTTTATCAACGACGACAAGTTTTTCTTAATTTTTTTATTGAAGGCCTGTTGGATTTAATCAGCTCGCTTACACTGCCAGAAGCCCAGCCTGAAAGGTATTTTGTTGCTCCACCTGGCGCGCCGCCGAGTCAGCATGGCGCGGCATCACCATGAGCAGCTGGTCGTCCGATTCCTGGGCCTTGTGTGAATGCAGCAGCCGTTCGTCGTGCATCTCCTTGGCACGGCGGTCCTCCATCGCCATCAAGGAAGCTGTCATCCCGTGCCCGCTTTCCTAAGGAGAAATAAGCAAGATACAAGATCAGTTTAATCGCCTAGTAGGTTGTCAACAGAGACAACATTGGACATGATGCAGACAGGGACAGTGTACAAAATGCAGGTGTAAAGTAGAAGATAAGATAGGATCAAATAGCTGACGCTCAAAGTGCCCTTATTTATTGTTTTATATTTTTTTAGAGTGCTTAATGTACGCTTGAACTTTGTCCAAAAATGATAAGTTTTCTTACCGGAAGTCATGTGACCTCTAGCCCGGATGTTTATGAGAGAGTGAAAAGGGCGCTAAAAGTGTAAACGATGTATTTTCACGGTGTTTCATAATTGTACCAAGAAGGAAAAAACGTGATTAGTGGACATCAGTTCGATGCGTAACGTTCTTTCAAGACCAGAGTAGTTACAGTGTGTTTGTACGTACTTTTGCGTTTGGATGGTTGAAAAGGAGACGAGAAAGTGCTGCTGTTGTGATCCGGAGGGGAAGGCTCACTTGTTTCCAATCCAGAGAGTTGTCCTGCCTCGCCTGAAACACACGATTAGTGCCATGAGTTAGTGAAGCAAATTACAGAAAACATTACACACTTATTCACAAGTCAAAAACGTTTTCATAGCGGCCGAGAATGATGTTATTAGCCATGCTAGGCTGAACTGGCTAGCAGTGTTAGCCAGTTCTGGCTAGCATGGCTAGCTCGATCTACTGAGCAAATAAAAGTACATCTGAGACCAGTATTGTGCAGATTAAAACAGTGCAGTGCATGTAGTTTATTTTACATTCGTAGTAGTCGTCGTTGGACAATTCACAGGCCACCGAATCCGCCGTTTCACCACTAGTGCCGGAGAATGAGGGTCTGTGGCCGAGCGCGTTCACACCGGAGTACTTTTCCCACAATAGTTCATCAGAACTACGATATATTTGCGTTCACACCAAAAAGCCCCAGGAACTAAATTAGTTCATCAGAACCATTTTTACCCCGTTTTCAGTCCCTGCTAGAGAGCAGGGACTTTCGTGGGAGAAAAAAGTTCACACGTCTGATTGGCTGGGCGGAATGCAAACCACGCCCCGTTTAACTCAGGTGACTTCCAGGTAGGGTGAGTCCGGGTTAGCCAAATGCTAACGGTTCACAATGGGAAAGCAGCATTTTGCTAACCCGGACTCACCCTACCTGGAAGTCACCTGAGTCACTCTCACCAGTTTAGAGACGCCCATGGAAACTGTCAACATGTACAGAACAGGAACAGTTTATCTTGTAAACTTATATGAAGGAATGTGTGCAGCCTGTCAGAATCGTTTCTCACTGTCTCATTAGAGAACAGAACATGTTCATCATGCCGTACTTGTCTTACATCCTCTCTATCCTCTATGATGACATGGTTGTGTCATTACGATAAAACATAATTAATGTTGGTGCACAGGTCTGTGAGATTGTGATGCCTTGGCAAAAAATGGCCTTGCCTATAGAGTAGTCTTATATTATATCTGCTGTTTTTATGTGCACTTTTTCCTTTGATCTCAGCGTATTGAGAGTGT